CCCCTTGCCGAAACAAACATGGACCAGTTGAAGGCTCCTGGCTCTACCTCTCCACGGGCGGCCGCACGGTCAACGCATCCAAATCATTCCTGGCCAACCTCTGGAAGGACTACGCCAAAGCCGACCAACGCTGGGGCTGGGCGGACCCGACGTGTGTTTCAATTGAGATCCTAACCGTGCTGGGCGCCGGGCCGATCGCAGCGTACTGCGCCTACTTGCTCACCAAGAACGACCCGCGATACCACTTCTGGGCGATAGTGTTGAGCACAGGCGAGATCTACGGAGGTTTCATGACGTTCTCTCCTGAGTGGCTGACAGGAAACAAGTTTCTCATCGGCTCGAGCGACTTTTTGCTCTTTTACGTGTACCTCTGCTTCAGTGAGTCTGGTCCCTTTTGGAAGGACTCGTGCTTGAATCGATGACTTGAACCCACTTTGCTTCCGCAGTGAACCTTGTATGGGTCTTCGTACCCCTGTACCTGCTTTACGACTCATACCAGGCCGTCACGACCGGCGCCAAAGCGGCATACGTAGTTAAGGCATCGCTTGCTTCAGTCCGGAAGAAGAGGTAATCGCCACCAACACAATTGTACGGTCTGAATCCAATGGGGGAGAGCAAAGCCCCAGCAGGCTTGCAGCGTCTCCAGCATGAAATATCATTATAAATTTGAAGCATACAACTTTCCACTGTTGCATCTAACGCATCAATCCCGGTCGTCGAGCAACGTGCCACTACTTTCAAATTCATTTGAATATGACAGCCACTTGACGACGCCCGTCGCAGCTGCCGATAATAGAAAGGCCGAGTCGAACAGGCTCCCAAAGACAACTTGAAATGAAGGCAGAGAGGATAGCAGCGGTGCGTCAAGGCCCTGCTCCCCGCTGGCACCGGCGGTGTCATCTCTTGTGAGCGGAGGCGGTGCTACATGCGAAGCTGAAGGCGATTGTTGAACCGGTGGCACAGACGTCCGTAGCTGAATGAGCGTCGCGAGAAGATACATAACCTGATCGCATCGTAAATGTTTGCCGCAACGTTGGAAATGCAACATCGGGAGTCAGTTCAGCCTGTAATTGCGCCGCCAGGAGTGTCTCCCCATCAGATTAGTCCCACTCACGGTGATTTCCGCCAAGAACAGGACGAGGAAGCTTGAGCTCGTACCTGAAGAGGCAGCTTTGAATGCCTGATGAGCAGGACAGCACATAAGATTCAGCGAGTCTCTTTTCAGATGTGCGAATTCAGGGGCGCGCTCGGGCCTGGACCTACCGAACTGAGATATCCCAATACAGCACGCATGCGCATGGCGATCAGTACGCCGATGAACAGCAGCGAGATCTGACGTGCCCAGACGGAAATGTCCGCGTGGATGTCAAAAAGATGGAGTAGAGATGCGAGCGCATACGAGATGAAGTCGGGCGGGGTGGAGTCGCGGTAGCCGAGAGTGAGAAGTGAGAGGAGAGACTGTGGATACATCAAACACATATCACGGGTAATTGAAAGTGAGCATTGGTGGACGATGTCACAGTTGTGCTTGTATTCGCACCCACCAAGGCGATTCGAAACACACAGTATCCCGCAAACCCCCAGCCAATCCCGATCATCAGTCGACCTTTCCATGTCTTGCTCCACTGTACGCGTCTCTCGCGCTTTCGCAGCGCGTCCAGATCATCGCGCATACTTTGGGCAAGCTTTTCCAGCGCCCAAATCTCTGCGCGCAGGATTTTGATCTCCTTCACTCTGATGTTGCCGGCTCCCCACGGATTCATCCTTCCCAAAAGGGACGAAGAGGTGGCAGCGGATGTCGATGAAGAGCGTTGTGCAACTTCCTCTGCCTCGAGATGTTCGACCATGACGCGCTTCTCCTCCAGGTCGCCTAGCATCCGCTTGAAGCTCGCCTGCGCATTCTCCACATCCTGCGACGTCACCAGCATCCTTCTCGAATGCACTCGACGGCCCCCATTGCGGGAGTTAGAAGAGGACGAGGCGCGGAAGAGCTGCAGATCGGCCCATGCATCCCATGCGGCTGCCATCGCTGCGCTGCCGGAAAGCAGCGCGACGAGCGTCACGCCGAGCACGGCTGTACGGAGAAGGGCAGATGATAATAGCCAGGCAAAGAGACCATCTTGCACTTTTTCGGCTGCCTGTCGTGCAGGAAGTGGGACCTTGAGGAAGAGGAGCAGCCAGAGCGTGTAGGGTACGATGGACAAGAGTAGTCTGCGTGGCAGTGAGGAACTACGACCTTGTGTCGTGATGAGCAGGCATGCCCCGAGCGCTGCCCATTACATCGCATTTGTGTTTCGATTATTTGGGGATGAGGGGCATGTCAAGTATGTCAGTTGATCTGTACACGCTCTACAAACGCCCAGTCCTACTCACGAAGCAGCACAACCACGCATGCGATGGTAGTGAGCAGCGACGCATTCCAATTAGCCCAGAGCAGGCGTCTGCTGTAGCCTGTAGCATCGAGGAGGACGAGCACAAAGAGGATCGTCACTTCTTCGAGCGCGAGGCTGAAGAGTAGGGCTACGAGGGATGATTGGGAAGCAAGTTTCGCGATGAGCGATTGTCTTTCGCGGCGTGACGCGACGGTGCGCCATGCTGTGCCCGCGGCAGATGATGGCAGCGAGCCGCGTGTGGCGCTTGATGTCGCTGGTGTAGGCAAGCCATTACCTGATTGTCCTCCATCAGATGTATCGGTATCCGTGGCCAGGTTAGACGTCAGCAGAGCTGCAGAGCCGCTGCTGCTGCTTTCGAGTGCAGCATAACGCGCCTGCCCGTACAACAGGGGAAGCGCGATGGTCTTGCAGCCGATGAACAGTCCCAGGCGGGCTGCGAGAATGATAAAGCTGTCTAAGAGGAGGAATACCATGGTGTTTCGGGATGTCTGGGACCATGAAATCCACAGCGTGCTACCGCATGGCACTCTGAAGCTGAAGCTGCCGTGGCGTTGAGCTGTGCGCTTGCTCCTGTCGGCGCGGGAATGAGGCGGTCCACTCTGCACCGATCAGCGCTCAACAGAATCCTGCAACCGATCCGTCAATGGATGATCGTGGGCATTTAATCCGACGACTTACTCCCACGCTCTTCCATACCAAGCGCAGCCCGTTCGATCTGGCTGAGTCAACAGAGCCGTTGCCAATTGGCATGCTTGAAGTGATGTTGGCGAGATACTGTGTGGAGTCTCAATTACATGAACTTGAGGGCGATGTGTACAGAAGAGACGGTTGTAGCGTGCACTGTTCTATTCGGTGCAACCACTCCCGCAGAACCGCCGTTTTCAGTCGTCTGTTCCTCAATCCTTACAGGCCCCCGCAAGTGATGTGATTGGCGAGGTGCTAAACAAGGCAACGATCTCGACGAGATGAGCTGACGCAACAGCAGATTACTTCTAGCAGCGTTGCAGATCGGCTTCTGGCATTCCGATTGTGAGGTCTCTAACTCAAATGTTCCAGCTTTGAAAAGCCCCACTGGCGGCGTTTTTACTCGTCGCACCTTGCAAATCTACGACCGCACGGTGTAATGTCATAACCTGCCCTCCGCATGGTTACTTCGTCATCTGCTGCTAAAGTCGGCAGCAAGTCGAGATCTGAAAGTTCGTTACCCGCTCCAATTATTCCAGAAGGATGCTGCTGGAACCCAACTCTTCCTTTATATCCGGTGATGCTCAGCTCCGTTCAAGAGGCACAGCTGCTGTTGACTTGCAAGCTGGGGCCGATCATCGGAACCGTAACGGCAACAACATGCGCCTTCGCACAGCCGGTCGTGCTGGTGTTGTGGATGATTGGTCAGATCGCCGTGCGCGACAAGCTGCAGAATGCACCAATGACAACAGGGTAGATCGATTAGTCTACGTCGACGATTACGACGATGATGTCTTTTACTCGATCGGATCTGCCGCCAAGGCTGGTGCCGATGAGCGCCTTGATAGCTCCCAAGCTTTGCGTCTGGCCCTGACAGCATCTCTTCCGATCAGCAAGACCAGTGGTGCGACGGCCCTCTTCCTCATGATCCTTATCTTCCGGCTCGCCCACGCGCTGCTCCTCCGCACATTCTTCCAACCAGACGAATACTGGCAATCGCAAGAGATTGCGCACCATATCGTCTTCGGATATGGCTATCGAACGTGGGAGTGGAAGTCCTCCGTCACCATTGCCAATAGTCTGCACTCCGCAGGGGGTAGAGTTGGCGCCTGGCAAGGGTTACTTAACGGTCCAATTAGAAGCATTGCCCATGCGCTGGCCTTTGTACCTGGTTATTGGCTCCTCAAGCTTTGCAAGTTGGACAATACTGTGCTTTTAGTGAGTTGACCACTGAATATGACTATTTCAAGCATCTCATCGTTCATCCTGAGCTAACGACTCCAAAATTGTGACCATCTTGCCAACCCCAAATTTTCGAAACTCAGACAATGGCACCAAGACTGACTCAAGCCATCTTCGCTGCTTTCGGCGATTTCTACACATTCAAGCTCGCGCGCCGTATCGTGTCTCCGCTAGCAGCCTACGTCACCGTGAGTTCCTTTGGTGCTCAGATATGAATCACATGAACATCGACGCCATGGGGCTGACGGCGACCTCGATCTCTGTCTCTACAGCTTCTTCTCACAGCCGCCTCGCCATATGCGCTCTACACGTCAGTGCGCACATTTTCCAACACGCTCGAAGCAAACCTCACGGTCATTGCACTGTACTACTGGCCGCTCACCATTGCACATCCAGACTATGTACCGCATGAACGGTACTGCAAGTGCGATAGCGACGAGATGCGCAATAGCAGGGGGGCAAAAGCAAGTGAAGCTCGCATAAATGAAGATAAGGAGATGGATGACGACGATCCTGGTGGTATCCGCGCGCAAAACATGCAGCGCAGCATCACAAGACTAGGCTTGCTGCTTTCTGCAGTGGCGTTTGTCGTTCGCCCCACCAACGCCCTCGTATGGCTCTATGTCGTGGCTCGGTACGTGCCACTTCAGATGAAGAGGGCCACGACGGCGAGCCAAGCGATCGAAAACGCCATCACCGTCGGATCCTTAGTTGTTGATGCTGTCGTCATTGGGTGCGCACGCTCGAGAGGGTGCATTTCCGGAAGGTGAAGCTAACAGCTGAATTTTCTCATGTTTGTCACAGTTGCGCGGTCCTGCTCGCAAGCATCGCCCTCGACAGCATCTATTACGGTCGCATAGTTCTTACGCCACTCACATTTCTGCAGCGCAACGTTTTGCAGTCCGTTTCCCTTTTCTACGGTTCGCATCCTTGGCATTTTTACCTCTTCCAAGCGCTTCCTGTACTTTGCCTCGCCTTTCTGCCATACACACTGCTGGGCTGGGCTCGGGCAATGCGACTCGACACCAGCAAGGCGATGATGCGTTATCCGGAGAAGGTCGCGCTGAAGATTATGGCTGAGATGGCGATGTTCATTGTCACTGTCTACTCCCTGCTGGGGCACAAGGAGTTCAGATTCCTGCAGCCTATACTCCCGCTGCTGCACATCTTTGCAGCATACTCTTTGACACGTAAACGCTTACTCAAAGGCGTTAAAGCTACTGCCGCGGGGACGACGGCAAGAACAGTAGCAGAACGTACGTCTCCGGAGCTGGCGCCTACGCGCACGCGGTCGATAGTGGAGAAAGCTTCTTCCTCTCACCCTTCTGGACTTGCGACTTTGAGCACAGCCGTCCGAGCTCACTTTTGCAACGTTCAGCTCGCATGGCAGCAGCTGGGCACTGCACGTTGGCCGCTACCAGCGCAGGTGCTGATCCTGATCCAGCTGCCTCTCTCAGCCTACCTCATGCTATTCCACTGTGTCGGTCAGGAGTCTATCATGCGCGATCTGCGTCAGATGCACCATGAAGGGCTGACGGGGGCTATACGTGGCCGCGCACCCATCAAAAGTGTAGGCTTTCTTATGCCTTGCCACAGCACACCGTGGCAGAGCTCACTGCATCTTCGCGAGCTTGAACTCGAGTTTGAAGGCGTCCACGATACGCTGGCGGGTGATGCGCAAGCCCGCGGCAGCGTCAATGGGGCCGCTGAGGGAAGGTCTACAACCAGGAACAGCAACACCTCAGGCGACCTTGGCAGAGCATGGTTCATCACCTGCGAGCCTCCACGCTCCGCAGTAGACCTTCTACAAATGCAGGCGGGTGTTTACCAAGACCTATCCGATGTCTTCTACGCGGATCCAGTCGGCTTCTTGAAGTCATATTTCCCCAGAAACGTCGATCCGAGTTTCCCGCCCATGCCGAGGAAGCTTGAACACGCAGTGGCAACACAAGTAGAAGGCCTGATACCTTGGCCGTCGCACTTGGTTATGTTCGAGGCGCTGCTCGCTCAGTGCGAGAAGACCGGAACCGTCGAGAACCAAGGATGGTCACTGCGAGGTGGCATGAGGCACTCGAAGACGGTCGAAAGCTTGCTCGAGGATATGGGGTACAAGGTCGCGTTCAAGAGATGGAATTCGCTTAAACATGAAGACTCAAGGAGGAATGGCAAGATTGTCGTGTGGGAGTGGCGGGCGTAAATGGTATGTATTTATGTTGGCACCACAGAACGAGGCCTCTATGATATTGTAAGAGTGGTTCGACAGCGTCGAGAGAGCGGCGACAATTCATACTAGCTGTGATCAATTGGGCAGCAAAACAAAAGAGCCCGCGTTCCGATCGTCATTAGTCACGCTAGGATCCCGCAGATAGCTCCGTTGCGACGAGTAGCAAAAACATATTTGGTCCCGAAGGACCGACTCTTCTGATCAAAACATGTCATCCTTATGCAGGGGTCATGCTAATCTTCTCTGTATTGTTCCAAGTTTTACGTTAGGAGGGCCGAAGCCCTCCAATAGGTGAGATACTATTTATTTGATCGCGACTTGAGTTTTGTGCCGTGTTCACCACGCGCTCGCAACTCACACGCTTCATTTTCTACATGTTAATCCACCACATTTTCGCAAGAGCCACCCATGACTGCTCGTATATGGATAGCAAGCCCAAACGTGCCCCCCCAGCTCGACGGGAGCACCGCTGACCTCCAAAGGGGCGCGCCACACTGTGCCATGACTACCGGCAAAGGCGTCCTCAGTGTCGCAGTGCCCGCTGCAAGCACGCTGGCAGACGCCGTGGTGATAGCCAGCAACGACGACTCTTCGCCTGCTTTGACCAAGCCACGTTCGACATTCCAGTCAGACAGGAGCAAGGTTCGGATCATCTTCTCTTTTGTGGTCACCATTCTGCTCGCGCTGCCGGTGTGGTGGAAGACGACGAGCATTGAACGACTCCCGCTGCCTAGAGCTCAACTTGCGAACTGGAGCGATCGGCTTGCTCAAGCGCACTTCGGCGATGCTGCGACGGCGCAGCATTGCGTATTCGAGTTGCCCATCAGGCTCCATCTGTCTATTCACGATTCTTTAGTCGAAGATCTTGTCTCTGGTTCAGCACGAGGCGAAGGGGCGGTTGGCGGCACGGGGGTAGCTGAGCAGACACTCGAACTGCTTGCGAAGCTCTCTGCCGAGTCCGCAGCTCTGCTTGCGCAACATGCTGTTGCAGCCCAACCACAGAACGTCTCCTCTGCAGCATGCGTGCGCTTCCTTGTCACATATGAGAAGAGCGTTGCGCATGCCGGCGCTTTGGCGATGGTGGAGAGTCAGCGGCTAACCGCGCTGGAGCACGGGCAGGCGGCAAAGCGCGATGTGGAGCAGCTTCGAGATGTGACACGAGAAGCGCAAGAAGAACGCAGGCCGTCACGAAAACACGAGCACCATTCGCGGATGAGTTCTGCTGCTTTGGCCGCAGATCAATCTAGCGCGGCCAGTGCGCAAGAGCTTCGGCAAAGATTGGATATGCACCCGATCCAAAAGGACTTGGGTCTGAAAGAGGAAGTTGATGAGGCCGAAACCCACCTGGCATTTGCAGAAACACCATCGTCCCTCCTTCAACCGCGTCGCGCCATGGGGGCAATGGAAGCATACTCAGTGCTGGACTACCGGATACACCTCTATGGAGAAGACTTGGGCGCAAGCGACACTTCAGAAGCAGCACAACATGATCTGGCCGTCCCCATTTCAAAGAGCGAACGTTCGACCGTGGGCATTGCCCAAACGCTCGTCGACAACTTCCTCCACGTCTTTCCTCTGTACTGCCTGTCTGCCGCCTCATCTCGGCCCCAAGCGTGTGCATCACCAGCCGGAGTTGAATCCGGCAAGGCGATCCAGCATGAGAAGACGGTGGAGCTGGTCTTCAGCCTGGTGCATGAAGATGCCAGCGATGGCGGCGCGTACACGGCATGGGACATCGCTGGTCCTCTACATAACCAGGCCCAACTGGGGTCAGCAGGACAGTCAAACGACGGTCCTCATCACGCTCGCAGAAGGCGAGGAAGCGCAAGCGTCAGCAGCGTGGAAGAGCCCAGGGCTGCCGGTAACCTTCAGTCGTCCCTCTCCGACATATTGGATGCCCTTTCGGAGCAAAGTATTCACGATTTCAAGATCGAGACGCAGATGCTTTTCTATGCGCCACTCGCATTCAAGCCGCACCTCAAAACCACATTGACGCCACAAACCTCGTACATTCAAGTCGAACGCGAGGTGGAGGTGGAAGTCGATGAAGACGATAGCAAGGATGCTTCGCCTGCAGACGGCGGGGAGGTTCTATTATCTGATGAGAATGAAGTAGAGAAGCCAAGGAGGTACCGCAAAGAGTTGCGCAGGTTCATGCAGGAGGTTAGGACGGACGCGGTGCACCATGACTATGCGGTTGACATGGAAGACCTGAAGATCTTTGTCAATGCAGGAGAGTGGAGTCTTGGTGCTAGCACCCCATCGCTACCGCGAGAGCTTCGGCAACGCGGCCGCTTCCCCGCGGCTTCTGGAGCATCACATGATAACTTGGCAGAAGCTGGGGACGAACCCCGCACACTCCATTTCCTGCTTTTTGTTCCGTCCGCGAAGCACGCTCCCCTGCGTATTCGCGACCCTCGGACCGGCAACTTCAGCTCGTCAAAGAGTTGGGTCATCCCACAGTGGGGCGGTGTCGTTCTGCTCGATCGCAAGGGGATTCAGTCGTCCGAGGCGAATGATCTCCACGGCGTTCTCCCAGAGCAGAGCTTGGTGGAGGCGGTCACCCTGTGGAATATCCATCTTCGCGCCTTGTTGGGACTGCCACGTAGCGCGTATGGACTCTCGCAAGCAACTTCGGCTTCAGCCAACCCAACAGTCACATCGTTCGAAGTTGATCTGCTCGGTATCGCTCGCATCAAGGAAAACATTAGGAACAGCATAGAGACGCTGGACAGCATCATCAAGTTAGTGGACAAGCTGCAGAATCTGGGGGTCGACAAAACCGTACAAGCCGACTTTCGTCAAAGTATTGCGTGTTTGAACCAGGTGGGGTCTTCCGACGAGGCTCTTTCCGTAGAGTCAGTGCTGACTTCCTAAGTGCGGTCCAAACAGATCGAGGAGCGACTGTCGTCCACATTGGCCACTGTCGACTGTACGGATAGCAAAAGCAAGCTCTCAGAGCTGTTACAGCTCTCCTCTGATGCATCACGCTATGCCTCTCATTCATTCTTCAATCCGTTGATGATCACGCAGCTTTACTTCCCAGACGAACACAAGTATGCCGTATACACACCCCTGTTCGGACCCGTGTCCGTGCCGATTATAGTGGCGCTTTTGAAAGAGCTCAAGGGCCGGCTCAAGCAGCGCAAACAGCGCCAAAATCAAGTTCCAAAGGACCGAAAGCGACAGTAGTGATGTATTTTGGAAAGGGGCATAATGCATATTCCAGCAACAGCCGGCGCTACTCTGCCGAGGCCGCACGATGGGCGAGTGCCATAAAGCGCTCTCGCAGAACAACATCTGACACTTGGGCTCGTGCACTGCGTTGAAACAATTTCCAGGCCCCCTTAAGGCTCATGAGAAGCGAAGCATCGAGCTCCGTTTCCGGTGGCGCAGGCAGCGGATGCGCTGCTGGATCTGAAGGGTTGCCTACGGCTGTATCGACTGAGTCATATCTCGACCAATAATCCTCGTCTTCCTCGCGTTTCCGCTGGCGTCGTTGTGCCACACCTGCGGCGCCATTCAGCGCAGACAGACTCTGTTGTGTTTCCGGCGAGTCGTCGTCGCTACTCACACCTGCCCAGAAATCCTCCGCAGATGTAATAATGTCCATGCGTGTTGATGCTTCCCCTTCGGCTTCATCATCGCCTTTGCCTGCGGAGCGGACCGAGCCTTGGTCACCTGCAGCAAGGGCTCGTTCAGGCGATGCGAACCATGGTCCTTGGAGGTGACCAGGGAGTGCTAAGGCGGCGTATCGCAAGCTGACCGATTCCTCCTGCTCTTGGGCAGCGCCCGCTTGAATACCAAGCGGGAGCGAAAGATATTCTGCGGAAGTTTGCTCGAGAATTACGATGACCATCGCTTGGACATTTTCTGGGGCTCCAAGCTCGACTGCGACCTCAAGCCCGTATTGCCCTACTCGGAACTTTACGTTCTTGATGAAATCATCCACTTCAAGACTAGGATTGAACTCTAGAACACTTTTGAGGCGGTCTATCTCTTGGAGAGGAGAAGTGGCGCCGCATGGTTGTCGGCCCCCAAGTAGGTAGTCTTCGCGATCATTAACACTGCAGGCGTGATCGATGACAATCAGCTGGAATAGTCTGCACCTACCATCACACGGAAAGTACAGAAACGACTCACTCTGCGTTTAGGAAAGTGTGCCTGAGCGCTACATCCCGTCCCTTGTAGCCGAGAGGAAGAAGCGGAGGTTCAGAAAGCAAGCAAGGCAAAATTCTCTTCAAGCTGTCCGTCACCGCTGCCCTCCCGCTCTCGGGAACAGATATTGAGCGGGCTTCCATAACTAGATTGCGCTGAGACGCACGGCGACAGCTTCTCCTAGAATGAACGCTGCCAGAGAGGAAGATTGGAGACGATTCTCTCTTCGTTGTTATGAATCATTCTCAGTTTGGCCGATTCGCAAATCAATTAGTGTATTACAACGTGCAGCCGAGAATTCGAGTGGCGACCGGAAGAGTCCATATCATCCGGACAACGCGGCACCCACCCATGCCCGCACCATCACACTTGAATTTGCATACGCCCAGCTTTCAATCCCATGCATCATGCTCACATGCGCAAATCACAGGTCCTCTTCAACACCGTCCGCCAATCTGCAACACCCGCCATGCAGGATATACGTGCACGTCAGCGTCAACAAAGCCATACGCAGCTTGGCGCACTTCTTCACATTCAGGCTCCAGCACACGGTCATGCTGCAACGACTTGGTGAACAGGCCTCCCAGTGCCCTTCAGTCAACAGCAGATATTTCAGGCTGGCCGAGAGCATGAGGCTACGGGATGATGATGACAAACAGTGTTCTTCCAGTGCCACTCTTTCGAGGCCATTGAGAGAAACAATCGGGTACGATATTTGAGCAAAATACATTTTCCAACTAACTTGGTATGAAAAAGAGTGTTTATGTAAAGGACTGTCCACCCTCAGAGGGGGAGCCCGTGTCCAAGGAATTCGCAATAGTCTTTTCCCTTATCTTCTTGCCGCAGCGCTGCTGCTGGCGTTACTGCTGCTGGCGTTATTGCTGCTGGCGTTATTGCTGCTGGCGTTATTGCTGCTGGCGTTACTGCTGCCGGGGGTCAAGCCTACTAGCGGCAGAATTCCGTTAGAGCTTGAAGAATTCGACGACGACGATGAAGTAACTGCGCTCGTGATTGATTTGCAGGCAGCCAGGTTGCCCAAGATCGAGAGATCCTTGCACACCTGCTGAGTGACAGGGTTTTGCAAGTTAAGATCTCCCCCAATCTTTTGAAGTACGTCATTACTGATGTTTCCGAGGGCACTCTGAAGTTCAGCGAGCGCGCCCTTGGTGTTAGCGAAGTCGAGGAGTTGCTGGAGAAGAGCGGCGATGTTTGTGATTTTGAAATCGATCACACCGCCAAGGGCAGTGATGCTGTAAGAAGTGGGAATGTCGTAAAGGTTGTAATGCAGCGCCGGGATGAAGTAGCCGCCCTCAACACTGCCGAGGGATCCATCAATACGGGTCAATAAACTGGCCACACAGCGCAGGTATGAGCGCAGACTTACGTGGTCCCGATCACACTACTCGTGCTCAGTGGGTGGCCAATGAGATCAAGAGATAGCAGAGTGCCATATGTCAACAGAACGTCGAACTTCGTTGAGACTGCCGAACTCTTGCCGCCGATCGTGAATGGAGGATTAAATACGGCGTGTTGGACCTGTGCGCGAGTTGTCGGCTCTGCGCCGGCCTTGTAGATGTCTGTATCGAGCGTGTTGATCGTCATGCCGGCGGGTAGCGGGTTGGCAATAGTTAAACTGAATACGAATCACAGCATGATCAGCAACACGCTAGTGCTAGGTTTGAAATATAGACAAGACTCACGATGATTGAACTTTGTTAGTCGCTAGCGATTGAACAAGGTCGATAAAGACATCGATGTGCGTCACAAGGCGAGCGCCTATGCCTGGCAAGGAGGCATCTGCAGTCACGCCCTCCAGGGCGGGAATCAAGGACCCGTACGGGCTCGCTGGAGGGGAGCTCGTCTGAGGGACTCCGCCAATGGTGATGGGGGCAGTCTGAGGAGTGTTTCCGCCGTTAGCTCCATTGTTTGCAGGCTCGAGATAAAGCTCGATGACCTTCATAGCTGTAGCGTCGTTGGGATTCGCGGGAGCATATCTGAACTCGGTAGGGACCTCGTTCATGCCTGGCAATAGTGACAGCTCCGCGACGTAGGCGCGACCGATCTCAACACCCTGGTATTTAGATGGGATGTATACTTCTCTCGTGTAGATGGTGAGATGGCTGGGGTTGTTGAGGCCGACTGTAAGAGGAATCTTGATGTATGAGGGGGTGGAGCCAGCGACCGAGACGTCTTTCAAGGGAGCCGTGTGACCGAAGGAGTTGATGCCATCCAAGCGAGACGTAACGTTAATTGGAATGCCCGTGATTGTGAGCTGACCAATGTGCGTATTGGCAACAACGGAAGTAGTGCCTTTCAAGTCGAAGACAGCTTCCGAAGTGTCCGTCAATTTGGCAAAGAAGGATTCGAATGCCCCATTGTTGAGCGACCTGATTCTCTGCTTGGTCCAAGTCAGAAGCAGCTGGGCCGGATCTTTCGGCCCCGTTGACGTGCCAGCTTTGACTGGGTCAAGTGGCAACTTGAGCTCTGCAGTGTCCACATTGTTGAAGTTGATGATGATGTCTGGTCCGGCTTTGACTGGGGTCAGGGTGAACATGAAGGGGTTGGCAAACGTCGCAATCGACTGATTATTTGACGTGGGAACATTGTACGCCTGTTGCCAAAGATGGAGTGAATGATACGTCAATAACAAAAGACGAACAAGATCGCATGCAAGTCACTTACATCAGACGTAGGCCCATTGACGAAGACGGTGAGATCCGAGATGACAATGGACGAAATGATCTCGTAAATCTTGCCCTGTAGAGCGACGTCAAGGAAGAGGGTTTGGAACGCGTCCGAGAGCCACTTGATCGGGGTGCTCTGATACGGTGACACAACTTCCCAGCCTTGAACCGTCAATGTCGAGTTGAGGCCAGCCAAGAAGCGCGAGAACAGAATACCGACGTTGGCCAGATCGTTCGCCGACGTCTGCTTGACGATCTCGCCCTTGAGCACTGTGCTCGTGACCGCTTTCGGCAGCAGGAACAAATCGTATGCGGAGGCGGGCCCGAGGTATGTGCCTTGGAATGAAATGTGGAAGGTGGCTGTTCCCAATTCCACACCCAGAGCTGACGGAGAAGGAATCTTGGAATCAGTCGTGTAGAGAAGACTATTGGCTGTCTCGCCATAGATGTCGAAGTTCGAGACCGTGACGCCGGGCAGGCCGTTAAACACATCTAGCGAAATGTCTTTCTTGAGCTTGACCTTGCTGTACGTGATCTGCAGCGCGCGCACAACAACAACATCGCTTGAAATAGTCCAAGTGAAGGACGGATTGTGCAGGATAAACGATGCAAACTCTGTGAAGGCACCTTGATTTGTGATACGAAGTTGGCCTGTCGTCTCAAGGTTTGGCACACCGACGCCCGGAATCGTGCAGATGGGTGGAAGCGTAATCTCTGCAATATTCTTACCCTGCCAGGCGATCTGCAGAGGCTCGGTGAACTCGATCAAAGCATTTGCGGGTGCATTTGTTGACAAGCTTCCGCGAAGCGAGACTTGGAACCCTTGGTCCGTGAGATGCGTTGCATTCGCTTGAGTGAATTGAAGGCCGGCCTGATCGACAATCACTTGGATCAAAGGAGCACCTGCCGGCCCGAGCAAGTAGAGGGCTGTCTCATCTGTCTTGACAGGTACTGGATACTGCACGAAGTTGAGATTCGTGAAGTACTGGTCGATGTGAACTCCAGAAGCGACGGGAATTCGTGATTTGAGGCCCTTAAGCGATTCCAAGACGGCTCCAAGCAGATCAAATTGATTTCCGAGATGGCAGCCCGTGTCCAGACTATCCGGGTACGCCTGTACTTGCGTTGATGCGTCACCAGGAAGATTGAAGATCTCTTGGAAGAGCGGAGGCCAAGGCCCAAGGGAAACGCCAGTGGCCTGGGCGAGCTCAAACACGAGCTTGACAAGTGACTTGGGCTTGGTGTTCAATGTGATGGGAAGCATCTGGGATTGCGTTGTTTCGTGACCAAGTGCAACGATAGGATTCTTGCTAAGATCGACGTTAATCCTGCCCAAAGTGAGGTCGTTGTATTGGGGTGACGAATCGATCTTCTCAATGTTTAACGTGGCAGTGAACGGGTTCGCGAGGACGACGGCAGCTGAGGCGATGGGACTCTGGCCGATGTTCTTGGGAACCTCGAGGATCGCCTCTGTCACCAACAGCTTGTTGAGCGGCGGAATGGCGGCTGTAAGAGCAACGCCAGCCAGAGCCTGCTGCAAGGAGCTGACTGGGGTCGACTGCCGAGTGCCCGCGACGACTGCATCCGTAGAGATATTCTGGATGTAGTTTTCCAGCACGGTCTGGCCAGCTGCCACGTTAGCACTTCCCTGCGGCTTGTAGTCCAGCTCGGTTGGAACCACATTGGTACCCGGGACGACCTGCAGTCCTTTGATGAGTGCTTGGCCAATAACGTGCTCGGTGTACAGAGTGTTAAAATTGACGTCGCCGACCGAAATGGTGATATCAGACGGGTTGTACAAGGCGGTGTCAAGTGTGATCTTGAGGTAGTCTGGGTATCCATGCACGACGTCAAGGTTGGAAACTAAGGCCGGCCGAGCATTGAAATTCTGCAGACCGAGAATGGTCGAGTCGACATTGAAGGGAATGTCGCTGATCGTGACTACGCCGGCAGCCGTGCTGGTCTGCGCGGAGGCTGTACCGTGCAAGTTGAAAGTGACGGCCTCCTTGGCAGTCGTGTCTGCCAAGAACTGCGAGAAGGTCGAGTGCGCATTGTCATAGACGGCGAATGGCACATTGTTGAACGCAAGTGTGAGGATACGGTTCGCAATGTCGGTCTTGGTGGGTACATTGGGCACGTCGAGAACGGCTGCATCTTGACCGTTGTAGTTGGCAATGAATTTACCCGTGGTTTGCTTGATGTCAACAGGGAATGCGAATGGCAGATAGAACGGAGCGGTGGTGTTGACCGTGCTCGTCGGCGGAGCCCAAGCAGTATCGGGAGTGAAGGCTAAAGAGAGCTGATTGAGACTAACCGCCTTGATGACCTGGAACTTGACAGATGGCAAGGAGATGTCGATGACAAGCGTCTTGATGGCGTTGTTCAGCCAGGTGACCTCCTTTGGACCTGCGTACTGACCCGCAACCTGCAGCGTAGTCGCTTGGTCATGCACGACGTTCGTGAAGACAGTGCTGAGTACATTCAGAGCCTCTGGTGCGGTCTGCTGTTGCAAGCGACCGACAAGTGGTATGTTTGTCTGCGCGAGAGCTTGGAGGATGAACTCGTTCGCAGCTGCCGATGGTCCGAGCTCGGTCCCGTTACTAGAGATCATCGTGCCGAATCGCGAGAGCTGAACACCAACTTGTGCGGGGTTGTTGATGGTGGCATTAACGGTGAGATGGATACCACCAGCGGGGTCGTTGCTCGGCAGATCGAACGAGTTGACCACAACGTCGCCCTTGAGACCGTTGAAACCGTTGAGAATGACGTCCTTGCTGAGGGTGATGTTTGGGACGGAAATTCCGAGCGCGTGGGCGGTGATGCCCTCGGCGGCAATGTTCCAGACGAACGTAGGATTGTGCAACGCATCCGTGGTGAACTGTTGCATGAAGTCAACGTCGGCGATGGCAAACGGCGCTGTCAGGTCGAGAGTGGATCCAACATCGCCGATAAGGCTGATATTGGGCATGGCGATCTGACCGAGAAGGCGACCCTGGTAGTTGACCTTGAGACCCTTCGTGAACTCAACGGTGCCATCGAATGGACCCGCCTGCGTGAGCGCGCCCTGCAGCGCAGCGGTGAACGAGTTCTGCTGCGGGTTGATCACGGTCGCGCGGTCGACGTTGAGGATGGCACCGTCGACGATCTTCTGTACGATCGGCTGAGCGAGGACGGGAAGTAGCTTGAACAGCGTGTCGTCTGTGCCAAGCGGGACGTTATACTGGGCGAAGGTGAGCGTAGTACCGTACTCGCCAATGACGGCGTCCGACACGATCTCCAGGTCGGTCTTGGCGACCTTGAAGGCGGCTGCGACGTAGGAAGGCAAGTCAAAATTGGTATACATATTGTCACGCTTCTGTGGGCGCTCAAGGCCGCGCAAGTCGAGAACTGTGGCCTCGTCCTCGATATCCTGCAGCTGGCCCAGGTTGGCGCTACCGGCACTCATGAGCAAGTCAGCCATAGCGCCGCCCTCATTGGCCTGAACGTTGCGCTTCTGCGCAGCAGTTGAGTTTCCAGCGGTGATTGAGGCTCCGCCGATGTTTGTGGCGGGCGTGAGCGTGAAGCCGCCCAGAGCGACGATGCCGTCTATGTAAGCAGGGTTGAGACCGGCTTGCACAGCGAATGCGCGCAGCGCACCGAAGATGTCGGGCGGGTAGAGGTTGAGAGCGAGGGGAACGTTCGGCGACGAGGTGACCGCTTTGCCAGCAGCGGGGAAGTTGAGAGACGTGTCGATCTGGGCGAGGAAGATACCGTGCGAGTAGACCTTGCTCGAGATGCGCGTGATCGTAAGGCCTGATGTGAACGGGTTGGAGAGCTGAACGACGGCGTTTGCAATAGTGTCTGTGATGCCGGTCGTGTCGAGGACGGTTAGGTGGGCTGCCTGCACGAGCGAGTGCTGCAGACCGGGTAGTGTGGCATTCAGCTTAATCGGCTGCAAGGCCGAGTTGAGCGACACGATATCCGACGAGCCGCTGAAGCCGGTGATGTTCAGGTTGGTGTTCAGACCAGAGATGAACCTGTTGAGCGTCTCGAGACCCTTGGGGTGGATGTTGGGATTGAATTTGGACGTCGCGTTCACGTCGTTGCGGCCAATCTTGAGGTTGAAGTTGGGCAGCGTGACAGTGCCGAGGGCAACTTCGTTCGAGAGCTGGAAGCTGGTGTCTCCCGTGGTCAGGTTTAGGTTCGATGGGTTGACGAGAGTGGTGCCAACGACGAGCTGGAGGGCTTCGCTGGTGCCGCCGACAACGTCGACGCTAGTAATCTCGGTTGGGTAACGCGTCAGGCTGTCGAGGCCGGTGAGGCCCGAGCCGACGTCGAACTTAATGCCATTAAGCAAGACGCGGCCGATGGGTGTGTCGGTGAGCGCCTTGGAGCTACCTTGAAGTTGGACACGAGCATTGTTGTTGAAGATGAGCGCCTTCTGGAATGTGATGAAGTTGTCGTGCGCCGTCTGGTTCTTGCCGTCCGTGTCGCCGGGAAGCTGCAGCCTGGTCGGCGGCAGCGTTAGGTCAAGCGTTCCGGCAGTCTGACCAGCACTAACGAGGGACAGCTCTGTGGTCGAGTTGGAGAAGGCACCATTGATCAGGGCGACGCTCGTGTTGTCATAGATCAGGTTGATTGAGTTGGAAGTCTGGATGATGTTCAGCGAAAAACCGAATGGAAGGCCGATTGCGCCGGACAACGCATTAGAGTACGTGACCGGCGCCCATGGCTGTTCCTTATCAAAGACGAGACTGAGGTAGTTGATGTCGATGCCCTTGATTGGGTTGATGGGCTCTGGCGACTGCAGGGGAACTTGCACGACGAGTGCCTTGATACCCTCGCTGAGCCAGCCGATCGTTTCGCCGTTGGCAAGCTTCGTGGAGACACCTTTCGCAACGACAGGCACCGCATAACCATTGATGTACCCCGTGAAAACTTCTCCGAGCAAGCCCAGCGCGGTCGAGTTGTCCGCGTGGGAGATCAGGCGCGACTTAAGCAGCACCGTGTTCACACCCGAGGTGACGTTGACGTTGCCGGCGGTGGCGGCAGGCCCGAGGTACAGATCCTTGTAGTACAGGTCCAGGTTGAGAGAGCCGAGCTGAACGCTGAACGGCGACGGGTTGGTCATGCTAGTCAACACTTGTGCCGTGATGCCGCCCTCGGGGTCGTTGCCGGGCAACTGGAAGTCGAGAATCTTGACGTTGTGGAAGTTGTCAAATCCTTTGAGCACAGTCGTCTTCTTGAAGTCATAGTTGCGGAACGTCGGTAGGAAGCCAAAGGCCTCGGCGTGCACGTTCGGGCACCGCAGGTACCAGGTGAACTCGGGCTCGGTGATGAGGAATTTTGCGAATTCTCTGAAGGCCTCCCCGTCGATGATGTCGAATTGGGTGTTCTATGGAGGAGAAAGTCACGAAAATGGTAAGAAATATTGATCGGCCAGTGTCAAGGCAGTACCTCAGTGGCGTCGCGACGCACCTGAAGGACCTTGGCGTGTCCGGCTGCAGCGTTAACACGGCCAAGCTTCATCTGTCCCAAGTGGACCTCACGACCAGTCGGCTCATCCGCCGTCGGCACGGTCCTCCAGTAGACGTCGACAGGGGAACGGAAGTACAGAGTGGCAGGGAAGATGCCAGACTTGGTGACCTGTCGGCGCGGCAGCAGACGGCGCACCATGTTAATCAACGTCTCGGTCTCGTCTATTAGCGGCAAAAAGTACGCACTTGTGCATTCAAAGAAAGCGGGAAGGAGGTGTTGGTGATGGAGGTCAGGTTTGCCTCCAGCACATGAAGCTGGGCGACGTGCAGCGTGTGATTGGCAATGGCCCATACAATCGGCACGAGCGCGAGCACGAGCGTTACCAGGACGATCGGGGGCGCCATGACTGTGCAGCAGAAGCCGAGCTTCTTCGTGAGGTACTTTTTCTCGTACGGCGTGCCTCGTGCGGCAAGAAAGCCGATCGGCTGGCCCGCACGGTACATGCCGTCTGTGGAAAGAGATGTGTCCTGTGAGCCGCGGGCGCGTCGCCGCATGTGCTCGCGCGAGCCATAACTCGCCGCGTCATCTGCCATGATGACGGCTGTGAAGGATCGCTGCTGATGCTGCTACGGTAAGCTCGAGCTCTTTGGTGAACAAGCTCAGACGCTGCAGAGAAGGTCGGTGGCAGGGGCAGGCAAGGAGGCACTGCAGTGGCACCGCACGCGAGCAAGGCAACTAGCAGAGGTGGGTGGCGGGCGACCAAAAGCGAGCGGGAGGATCAATGCAAATCTGCACAGTGAGATAAATAGATCAGGCGAACGAAGTTGAAAATAGGTAGCCGGTGCCCAGCGTCGAGCAGGAAGGTGAGGTGAAGGTACGAGGGATGGATGGAAAGGTGTAGGTATCGAATGGGCTCGAGAAGACGAGGGTGGGGGCGAAACAGCGGGGCTGGCGGCGAGAGGAGCGAAATAATGCCCTCTTTCTTTTCGGCCGTGTCGCTCGCCCTCACTTCAAAGCGATCGGCTTGCTGCCCTTTCCCCTTTGCGCACGCCAACAATAGCCTTTCAAACGATGCCGCAGCTAAGGCCTAGTACAGCTCGTTGTACCGTCCCACATGCACTCGGGGGTATGAGGTAGAGGTGTAGGGGTGTAAGTTGTGTGGATGTGCTGTTCCGGGATGAAGTGTTGGAAGAGCCTTAAGAGAGAAAACGCAGCACAGGAACACACTTCGCTGTGCGGGGACGTTGGGCGACTGTGGGCAGGGCTGTGAAGTTAGTCGGGTAATGAGTGAAGACTTGACTAGACTGTGGGCCCTCCCTCGGGTCCTCACTCCTCCTCTCCCTCGCGTCGGTCAATGGGGGGTAAGCAAGAGTTTTAGTGTGTGTATGTACTCGTTCATGCGGACAGGCAGACATTCCGCAGTGGGAAGGGGCCGCGTGCACAGGACCAGAGCAGTGTGTCTCGTGTTACTTCCTGGAACCAGCCCTAGCAGGGTAACTCAGCAATCAAAACGATAGTAGGCCATGTGCGGCTTACCACGGGAGTCCCGGGCATCGGCCTTGGCGTGTACCTGTTTGTGCCTGTCTATCTTTCTCCATCTCTCGCCTCTTAAGCTTCTCTCAAAACGCGGTATGTAGGCACGCACTATCGGGCACTGACGCCGTATGACGCACAGTCAAAGTCACAAACCATAGTCTGTAGTACCACAGTGGCAAGGCTTACCACGGCAGAGGGGAAGAAGCAAATGAGGACGCCAAACACTTGTGGAACGCGTGAACTCAAAGGCGACGATCATGCCGCCAGGGTCGCAAGGCGGACACTGCCCTGGGGCTCCAAAAGGCGAAAGGCGACTACCCGGCTGGACACTGGTCTCCCTCCAGCCCGGCATCCAGCTGAAAAGTGCTGAAAGTTGCTGCTGTATGACCCTAGAAATGGCAACAGAAAGGTACGTAAAGACCGGGCTATGGCCGACGGAAGGACAGAAATGTGCAAGCTAAAATGTCCAGATCGATGTCCACTCTTTCTAGGCGCCGGCCAGCGCTCTAGTGCCTTTCAGAGTCAGCGGAGAGTTTGCAGAGCGCTAGGAGGCAATACATGAGTGTCTACTCCACACCTGTGACCCCGAAAATCGTATCGAAATCTTATACTTTCACTGGTTCTTTTCTTTGGTGGCATGCAGCGAACTGGAGAATTTGAAAGCGGGGATCTCCAATGGACGTACTAGGGCGAACACGGCGATCATTCCCACTTTCTTTTTCTACATGAGCTTGCGATTCCTGCTTGCGGCTGCGGGGCAGCTGCGGAGTATGGGGTGTTGCGAGGACCAGGCTGAGAAGCACGGCTGAATGCTGGGTAGTACACTCGGAACCGGAAGCACATTCGTCATCAGTCCTCACCTCCACTTTCGCAGTCACGCAAGCCAGCCAGCAACTCAACTGGAACAGATGCCATGTGCGGGAGTCTAGCATGCATTTTGGCTGTAGCACGCTAGCTGCGTTGGCGTGACCAGCGGCCCGCTTTCATCTCTGGGACAGCGTGGCTTCTTTCAACCCTCGTTAACCTATTGGCCTGTGCTTTGGGGGCTACTTTCGTCTGTTCAGAGCGGCCTAACACTCGGACGTAGGACGGCAACATTGCTGATGAGACATGCTGACAGACGATCTCTGTGTTCCATCAATCAAATGCAATAATGCACCAATATGGGAGCGGCTGGCAATCGGCGTGTTCAGTGGAGCATTCAGGCCCCCTGTGCTGAGTGCTCTACAGCCTCAACGCACATTGTTGCGCCTCTGACAGCTGAAGCTCGCATGCAGTAAAAGCACTCCATATGCAACCCTTCCAGCAAGGTAGCTCGAAGAAGCCGACATGAATACCATGATTCTACAGTCTGTAGTTCAGGCATGCATACTGGCCGACTGTCAGGTCTCCGATGTCCGACTTCGCAAAGCGCGGTTCTCTTGAGAGCATAACCATTGTCAATTATTAATTATCAGCATCTGCCAAATTCTATCATATTACGGCAACTCGTGAATGCAGAAAGGGCCGTGAGCACCTTCGAGCCGGAAACTGCTTACGCTTGGCGCTGCGAGTACGAAATCCAGCATGACGTATGTACGAGTTTGGACGACCGTTTCTCGTGCGCAAAACAATGGCGAAACTGAAAAAATCGAACCTCATTGAACCGTCTCCATACGTTTTCTGACCAGTCTCATCCACAGATTCTCTAACAGATCATACCATGCTCGCTCTCGTCTCTACTACACTGTCTCCTCACCATCTCACCCAGTCAATCCCCTCACGCCCAAACTCTGAGAGTACGGGATACACACGTTTTTCCCGTCTATGTTCGTCGTCGGCGTCGTCATCATCGAGGAGCTCTCGGCACAGTACATGACACCAGCAGCCGCATGACTATGCTGTGTTTGCACCATTAGCCTCGTGTGTTTGCATATGCTGTTGAGGTCAAGCCCCCGCAGCTCCCGCCAGGACGGCGATTTTCTATCTGCATGCTCCCAGGAGAAAATATTGAATTCCACGTCCTTTTCTGCTGCTCATCCGCCTTTGCAATCGGCTTCAGCAGCAATGGCGCACATGATGCCACGATTCGCAACTCTCAGCACGCTCTCTCTCCTTGTATTTTCCTCGATATGGGGCCAGCTGACGCGAGAGGGCCTAGTCGCGCTAAACTCGTATGCCGGTCAGAGCATCCACCCCGTCATTTGGGCACAAGGCGTCGGATGCTTCGTCATGGGATGGGCAATCGCGAACAAAAAGTGTATTGAGGATGTGTCAGTGCCGAATGTCGAGATCCTTGCCTTGGACACCATCTATCTCGCTCATTCATCATGACCCTGACGCCTCTGCCCCCCGGTCTGTGCTTCCTCGCTCAGATATCCGCAGATATACGTCGCCATTACCACGGGCTACTGCGGTAGCGTCACAACGTTCTCTACCTGGGCTTTACAAGTCTTTCTTGCCTTTTCAAACCACGCCCGATACCCACGGTCAAGGACCTATAGTGTGAGCGTAGCTGGCGGCGCAACTCTCCTACGCTCTACTTCAAAGTCAGGCTGAGCCATCGGTCCTTTTGTACAGGTCATGGATGCCCTTACGCAGACAGCGGCGACGCTCGGTACGGCTCTCATCGCGCTGCAGGCCGGCCGAAAGGCGGGGCGCACATTTCTCTCGCCTCGCGCAGTGCTGCTGTTCCTCACATCACCCCTAGATGCCGTGCAACGGATCCTCATGATCCAAGCGCCAGAACAGGAGGAAAAGCCGTCGAGCGAAGAGCGAGCCGAAGAAGCAGCTGCAGTGGATGAAGTCGAGGTGCCTCGCGTGGAGGAGTTACCATCCAGTGGTCAGCCTGCAGCGCAAAGTGAAGCTGCTGTCCTAGAGCAGCAGCATCTTCGACAAAAGGTTACGAAGAGAGCAGTCGCCGTTGCCTGCTTGTCGCTTGGGCCGCTCTTCTGGTTGGGCACAGCGCTTCTGTTGGCATTCCGACAAGACGAGCGCTTTCGACATGTCACTTTTCCCATGCTACTCGCTCCGCCTGGCGCGATCCTGCGCTGGTGGCTCGCTCTGCACCTTAACGCAAGTCGCCGGGCAAAAGTCGCCTGGCCGCGCTGGCCACTTGGCACGCTCGCAGCCAATCTTGGAGCAACGCTCATCCTTGCAGGCGTATACACTGTACAGCACGTCAGCACAATGCACTCGTCGAGCAACCCGCCAAACACATCGGTGCTAAGCACGAGCACGCTGCTGGGATGCCAGGCGCTCTACGCTGTGCAGGAAGGCTTCTGCGGCTGCCTCGGTACCATCAGTACATTCACCGTCGAGCTCGAGATTCTGAAACCCTCAAGACGAGCGTTTGCTTATCTCTTATTCAGCTGGGCAACAGGTATCATCCTTTGCGTGCTGGTCGTAGGCGTGCCAACCTGGACGCTGCCCGAGTCCTCGGGATATGGGCGGCGTTGCCCCAATCTGTCCTATTGACAGGCGTATGCACAGCACTTTCTTTGCACAGTCACACTTGTATATGATGCAGTCCTAGAGCTCGGCATTCAGATGGCGTACCTTGGAAATCTGTCGATTCCTTTCGTTGGTCCCGTGTGTGGGACACATTTGGGCATCCATCTAGGGCGAGCAATCCACATGCCGGGATTTAATTCATCATGATTTATTATTCATGTGTTGCATCCCAAAACTTTGAAATCATGGTGATCGGTGATTGATTATATCCAGTACATACACCGCGTTGAATCCGCACTACACTCCAAAATCCAAATTGCCTTGCGATAGAATTCAACACATAATAGTAGCTGTAAATGAACGCTGCCACTGATGTCAGTGACGCGCCCATTCGATCTCTCTTTGCACATACCGATGAGGCGTGAAGCAGATGATTGGAGCTGTGTGTGCATGAGGAGGGCAACACAGACTCATCAGCTTCGAACAGACGTTGGCCGCCGCTTAAGTCCAAGAGACAGCGGTCATGGACGGTGTTGACGGGAACCCCACCGAAGTACCGCAAGGTACACAACCTTCCGTGACACCTCAGCCTACTCCGAAGCAAGACGCCAACAAGGGGATCTCGAGACCCGCCAGCCTTCGGTCGGCCCGTAGCGTCGTGGGAAGCTCGTCGTGTGCGTCAGCCTTGAGCCGGGCAGCCCCTTCTCTCATATCACGGTTATCGGCGCCTGCCACAGGTCGAACCACGGCCACGGCGACAAGTACTTCGCCCTCCTTCTCCGACGGTTTTGGGCAAGGCCCCACATCAAAGGAGAGTGCCCTTTGCGCGACCCTGAATACCACGGGCGGAAACATCGCTTCTCTCGATTTAGCAAATTCTGGACCATCAGGACAACTGCAGGGTAACAGTCGCTACGACGCCGAAAGCAGCAGCGCCTCCCCCATGAGCAGAGTCTCTTTCTCGGAAGATACGGCAGTCCTAGGCGGCTCAATAGCAGGGACCAGTGGCAATTGGATCAGCGGCTGGAGTTCTTCCACTCAGACCGTTAACGAGGACGACGAGGAGCCAGATGATGGCGAACGAGGCATAGAAGCGGGTTCTCATCAGGAAGATGGTACAGACGCCGGGGGCCGTCGACAGTCAATTGGACTTGAGTCAGGGCCAGGAAGTGCTCTAGCACTTCTGCGAGACGTTAGCACTCGCTCATCTAGCAGGGTCACCACTTTCAGCTCGTTCCCCTCGTCGAAGGCAAATGGCAAGCAAAGGGAGGTGGAAGAGGAAGACATCGTGACGCTAGGTGGGATTTATCCGCATCGAGACAGCCTTTTGTGAATCTCAAGCTAACAAACATCTTGCACAATATTGTTTTAGCGCAGGACCAAGACTTAGAGGCAAATGTCGAGCGCACCTACTTTGTCTTCACCACAGCCGGCAAGCCGGTCTACATCAGTCGCCGACTTACGCTGCCTGGAGGCCTTCTCGATGGCAAAGGACAACGAAGAAGAGCCAACACTTTCGAGCGTGAAAGAGAGGCCGGAATGCAAGACGAAGAAGAGGAGTCGGCAACAACTCGTATAGGTGTCATGACTGCCCTGATCTCCATCTTCACGGACGAAGGCGGTGATCGGCTGCGAGAAATCGTCTCGGATCTGGGTCGAATCACCTTTCTGCAGCGCTCGCCGTTGCTCTTTGCTGGCGTTACCAAAAGTCGAAAGCCAGAGCCGAGCTTCGTCATGCGATCGCATTTGGACCTCTTGCACAACCAGGTGCTGGGGCTCTTATCGACAGGCCAGCTAAATGCAATGTTCAAACGCAAGGCTAGCGTCGATCTCCGAAGGCTTCTTGAGGGAACGGACCCCATCCTCACGGCTTTGCTCGAAAGGGCACAGTGGGACCGCTCGCTCACCATGAGTGCGCTTCAGCCGTGTCGACTTCCCCTCACTCTTCGGGATGAGCTCTCTCAACTGCTAGATCCAGGCAGGCTACCGGAAGGGCGTCGGCCTCCTGATCTTCTCTACGTTCTCCTGCTCTCCGGCTCAGATATTGTCACATTGCTGAGGCCTCGAAAGCATAGCGTCCATCCGATCGATATGCAGCTCCTCATCAACACTGTCCAAGGAACACCCGCTTTACGGGAAGCGGGCAGCGAGAGTTGGCTGCCACTCTCGTTGCCAAAGTTTGCACCCCAAGGCTTCGTCCACGTCTATGCCAGCGTTCTCGATCTCAAAGGGTCTCACTCGGGCCAATCCGAGTATGTCAATTCGCAAGCAGCCCTCGATGCGGCACCGGAAACTCTGACTCTTTGCTTCGTCACTGGAAACCGTGAAGCCTTTCCCTTGCTTCGGCAGTGGCGTTCCGAGTTCTTCAATGTGAGTTCCTTATATGTTGCTGACGAAGAATCAATGCTGAAAGATCCACGAATCATGCTCCTGCTGCTGGATGGCAGCGTATCAGCAAAGCATCTTTTGCAGATCGTTTGATACCCGCCTTGTTTGGGTCACGATACCTAGCAGAGCAGGTCGGCGTCACCGGCGTCCGGCATTTTTTCTACAAATCTCGCATCAATACGCAAATCACTAGTCCAATCCTAGATAGCACATACGCAAAAGGCACCAAAGACTTGCATCGACTGCTAGGCCTCTACGACCACGCATTCCAGGCAATTCACGGCATCGGCCATGTCTCGCGCTCTTCGCAGGTTGAGCAGGCGGTGGGCTTGACGTTGGCTCCGCCGCCTCTCAAAATGCACTACATTAAGACGACACAGGAAGCTGTCCTGGCTTGGATCACGCAGCCTTTCGAGCTGTATCTTACCGTTAGTCCCTGGCTGCCCAAGTCTGCCGTCATTGCCGCTGCGAACGCGGTTGCCAAATGGGTCAAAAAGCAAGAAAACAGCCTTTTCCTGCTCTCGCCTCCTGTATTCTAGGCGCTTTCGCGGCTGAGCATGTAACTTGTGTTGCACATGCCCTGTTGACGTGGCAGCGCAAAGATGCTTTCAATGCCCTTCGAACGGAAATTCAGGATACAAGTCTCAATAAGTAGATCGAGCCTGGATGAGATAATGCTAGTTCGAAATATCTTAGATGCCTCCTTCGGACTCAGACTCGCTAGCGTCTGGCTCCCTTTGACGATAGGCTGAAGAAGCAACCACCGCATCTCGTGGTTGAGTTTTATCCACACCTGTCCAAACAGAAGGGGAGTTGTCAGCGTACTCCATTCCGCGCGTGTACGTGCTTATAAAGAAGCGTGCTTACATTCACCAATAAAGATTGGATGCCTGCATGGGTGCAATGAAACTCCGTTTCTTCAATACCAGAGCCTCCGACCCTTGGACATTTGACGTGCTGCACTCACCTGGGAATACCTCTTTCAGAAAGCTCTTGAAATCTGTATTTAATAATACTACCTTTCTTGGGAGGTTGATCACGCAGAAGGTCGGTAAGACCTGAGCCTACAGCGAAAGCTCTACCATTTTCCATCCGCACCCAAAGTGAGCCGACCCTGTGTGAGTTCCTGGTGTTCTCTCTTCCCGGCTTATGTCCAGTGACCTCCGCTTCCGCTTCATATATTGGTTTCACCTTCAGCAATGTGTCGCTGCGGTTGCCAGAATAATTGTAGGGGGAGTTTGCTTTGCGTAACATGAGGCTGAGACAAGTTGGAAAGTCAGTCTGCATGCACTTTCCATCCATCTGCCGCGTGCACCCACCCTTCGCCACCCTTTGCTCTCACTTCTGCCAAAGTCCGCTCCAGGTGAGCCTTGCCATTGCACCTTACATGGCTTAGGATGCGCAAACACCCCTGGAATATACGGTGGAAAGAACTATCAGCGTTGTCCATGGTGTCAAGAGGCCCGCATAGAACACGCTAATCACCTTTGGCCTTTTCAAAGCTTCGTCCGGTGTGACTGGCTCTTCCCCAAGTTTCTCCTTGAGGGTCCTCCAGCGAGCTTCAATCCCGCCTGAGACACCACAAACGTCAAACACGAAGTAAATAACTTCCTTCCAGCTTGGTGCTCCGTCAACCTTTTTGCGTTGAGTATTTATTTCAGCTCCTTAACTGCATCGTTTGCGGTAGATGCAAGGCTCACATTGGGCCTTTTCCCTTTACGCAACGACCGGATTAAGCCGGATGTCTTTTCGAAATGGTCACGTTTAACCCACAGCTCTCCATCTAAAAGCAGATTTTTGGGAAGCTCTGCAGGGAAGTCAGGTCAAACCCAGCTGCATTTAAAGGCTATTGCGTGGCTCGAGTGTGCTCACTTTCGCGAAAGTGATCTGGAACGAACCAAACCATGCCTCGGCGGCTGATCATATTTTCACCGTCCCAGTAAGCGCGCAAGCCGTCGAGCTTCGAAGACATCGTCACAGTCAAGCGCATGCTCACAAGATTCATGACTCTTTAACAGCTTACCTTTTCGGACATCCACCAGCCTTGGGGGTCAAAATCGTGGGGCATGAGCGTACCATGCATCAACGCAGGCTTTTTGATTTTCGTCCCCACAAGGTCCGACTTGAAAATGGAAGAGGAGCCGAATAGGCTCAACCGTGAACACGGGAGAGCAGTCGGACACACATGCTTAAGGCGAATGATACTCACCAAGGAGGAACTATGAGAAATGGCACGTTTACGCGAAGAAGCGCTCGTGCCGGTATCACTGGTAGCGCTAGAAGAGGCTTGAGAGCTACTAGGCATCACATACTTTACCACGGCGGTCTCTCTCTGTATGGTTGAGACGTTCATATACCCGAGGTGAGAATGATAAATCGATTGTTATATATCAGCAAGAGGTTCCAGAATCACCGTGAGTCGCCGCTGGTTGCAGTGACGCGCTACTCACGCCTTTCTCCAGGCGTTTTTGGTTGAATTCTGAGCCGAGGAAATGCTCGAGATGCTCACAATTCCGGAACGGCGGTCTTGTGCTGTGATTGAGGATGAACTTGCTGCAATTGCAATTGTATTGATACTGTTTCCGTCTGTGAGTGAACACGGTCTCACGGCCTCATTTTACCTGAGTCAGGGAATAGAGGAAACGCACCGACACTTTTTGGCTCACCTAGTGATTACATTGGTCACGCCTTTGATGATAGTCACGAGGCTTGTGCCCTCAATGGGGATGTACTTTGCTGGCTCGACGTCGTCGATGGCTGCATCCGACGGCGATGCATTGTCGCCCATATTCTCACGGCTGGTACGGCTCACGGCTAAGACAGGGAAACATGACATACGACGCATCAACTTTTTTGTACAGACAAGCTTCCCCCCGAACAGCTGTTTGAGCAGCACGCAGCCCTTGCCATCAAGGTTGCAAGTAGTTGCCACGCTCAATCCTCCCCTGACACGCATGTTTATGTGCTGAAATTTACAACATATACATTATCTACATACTATGGGAATGGTGAACGGGGTTATTGCTGTATGTAAGGTTTTAGTTGGTTCACTTTCATGTTTGGCTCCTTTTCTCTCATCGCCCAGCCTCATGCGTGGCGCGACAGTTCGCCAACGCGCGAGGCACACCCACACTTACCACACGTGACTTGTTTCGGATGAGCGCGTGACCCTTCGTATAGGTTGTTGCCAAGCTCTATATATTGATAGGCGGCCAAGCAGCAAGGCACAATCAAGCTTCGCGGTCTGCTCAAGGGCCGACGCTGCCAAGCTGGGTCGCTCGATGGCCTTTGGGGTAGGTGCAGGCCGGAAAGATATGCACACCATTGCGTCTGCCTCCAAGTTGCTTTTCAGAGAAAACTGCGGCAAATTATCGCCACCCTCGACATGAAGTGCCATTGCGCTTCGACCCTCGCCTCGAAGCTGTCAAGAAGCAATCAATGACTTGAGCACATGATTCTGCGACAAGGTCCAGCTCATTCATGGGGGAAAAATCAACGTGAAAGACTGATATTCCTGCAGCCTGCGAAGGAATCCACGCAACTTCTCCACTGATTTACCCGTTGCCATTCCGTTGCCCCACCTGCAAATGCCATGATCTGTCACATCTGGAAGACACTCCAAGACTTGTCATCAGCCTTCTCCGCTTGAATCCCAAATGGAGAATGTCTTCCAAATCATGCTGAACTTCAAAAGAATGTCCATAAGAACGGCATGGGCTATTGACGACGATTCGTAGCCCCAGGCTTGGTTTACCCTTTAGACTGAACTTCTGCTATTCTGGACGACCAATGTCAAAAACGTCGTACACGAAGTTTTCAATTTACCCTCCACCACCTCCGGCCGCTTTTTCCCATTCTGAACCATCCAGAACCCGAGGTAGATACCCGAACGGCCTTGCTGAGGATACTCCAGAAGAGCTTGCCGATGTTTCATAAGCAAGCTACTCGCATGGGGCCTGATCGCCCCCTTTCCGCTCAATTCATCGCAGCGGCTAGGGCCATGACTGCCTGACGTGCGATTGCCACAGCAATACCATCCTGCGTCGAATCTACCAGAGGAGCCTCCAGCTGTTCCGCTTCATGCAATCTCCCATTGGCGGTCTCTTGTTCTCTTCTAATACATGTGATAATCAAGTGGCCGCAGGTCTTGAGCGCTTGTACAGGTCTGTACAATGCTGAGTTGCCCTCGTCTTGGAATATCGTCACAGCGAACATTTTTGTTCTCATGTGCGGCGCCTACGGCTTATAACTCTTTGGATTGTAAGCGTATACACTTGCCCACTTTTCGATGGATGTTTTCAAAAACATCTAATTCTGTCCTGCACCAGAACGACTGAAGCACTTCTCCCTTGGCACATCCATTTGAACTACAACTTTGGTCTCTAGCGAGATTGACAAGCTCAAACGGCTTTATCATCTACACTGCAGATGCTGGCTTTGAACCGCCAGGCATCTTTACCCGTGGATTTCTCTGCGTTGCGCACAATCATGGTTCGCTTTTGGGCTTGCGTTTGCAAAGGGTGGCATATATGGACTTATGGGAATATCATTATCAAAGGAAGCGGAGCGCAAGTGCAGCTTAGTTTCTGGTGTTGTCGCGGCCTTGGGTGTGAAACTTATCGTTTCTTCTTGTGAGTACACTCTTGGACATCCGTGCTTTCTGGCGCCGTTGCTCGCTCGAGAAGCTTGACCCTTGTTGCTTTCCAGTGATAAATACTCCTGATAACCTCTGTCCTCGTCGTGGGAGGCATTTTACTCGTCGACACTAATGCTGCGCTCCGTCGCTACGCCGCGTAGTCAAAACAGTACGAGCAATCTGGCCTGAACTAAGATATGTTTGTTGAGGACCTAGCCACTTGGGATCATGAGTCAGCCGAGACCACTTTTCTGGATGTGTCTGCTGACAGACAGATATCGATGACTTGCTTCGTCGAATCATTGCATGGCTTTTACTACAATACAATTGGCTTTTCTGCTTGGGTCGGCGCCGTCGTCATCGCCATTTTAACACAACGAGGTGCATTGGGAATAATCTAAGACATTCGAGTAAATCTCCGCACCATTGAGGGCAACGCATCAATTTGGTTTTGGACTCGCCAAGCATCGGCCGCCGTCGAAAGTTCAGCAAACGCGTTAGTACCAGTCCGCAAGAACGAAATAACCAAACTCAGCAGCAGGTTTATCGACCTGACGAACCCGCAGATACACCATTTTAGACAGAAAGCGGGGAAGGGGAACGTATAGTGACGGAAGCCGGCATCGGTGCCGTCACGACCTGCAGGATCGACAATGACTAGGGCAAATTTCTTTCCACCCATGAATATCCCCAGTGTCGTTGTTCGTCCACGCAAGCTCTTTCGAAAATTACTCTTATTCATGTTCATTTCATATGCCACCATTCTTGCCGCAGCGTAGTGTATGCCGGGCGCCGCGGAGACTGGAGCAGTGCTTGTGTATGACTTCAGGCGTGAGTACAGAAGAAAAACAATCTCAAATACCGCCACTGTACCGCTCCTTGGGCTGAGGTGACGGCCGTCTCGGAGCATGACACGCATTGCATGGCGGGGACCAGGATGTTTCTGTCTGCCCTCTGCGTCTCAGCCTCCTTCTGCGCAATTGTCCCCCTGGCCATCGCTGTTCCAGGCATTGAAAAAACTTAGTCCGTGCTCGCCCTTGGAGCTCAGAAATCCACAGGTGCACCAGGAAGAAATGAGGATGACACGCTCTGGCGAGGTAGAACTTGAAGTATCGTTCCTGAAACAAAACGCCGTGTACACTCGCTTCGCAAGAATGCACCATATGCTAACTCTTTTGCTGAGGACCCATTCTTCACGATCGGCTGCTAAGGCGTGACTTTCGATATAGCCCCTCCTCGACGCTCCATCACCGCAGTCGCTTCATAGAAGAACCTTAGAGATAAAAAATTTGCGCATGCCCCCCATCCCCCCCCCCCCGGCAAGCTGGGCCTTCAAACATTTACAAGACGGATCCGTACAGACGATAGAGGCTAGCACTGTTCCTTTGGGCGTCTGAAGCTGCTGAAGATGCTAGGAAGGATTAACGTTCAGGGATATGAGACATTTTCGACGCACCCGTAGAAATAATTTGAAGCCGGATCTTCACCGTGCTCTCCGCCTGATTGTTAACTTTTCGGCACGCAAGCAAACCATTGCTGTAAGGGCTGCGCCGTAGACTTCATGCAGACGCACGTACATGGCCTTGGACCGTTTTTTATGCTTCATATGAAGGGAGCAAATAGCGGTGCGTCTCTACGCCATTCAAGGCAATGATGGCCTGGATTGGTGATTCCTGGTCAGCACTCTGGACCGGCAACTCCAAAATTGAATCGAGGGGCCAACCAAGTAACCGCGTATGCTATAACCGTAAGGCATTTCAATTACATAAGCCCCAGGTGTTATTCACGACTCTCATTCTCGAAGTCGAATGTGACTCAAACCTCGATTCTGTATCCTGTACCTTTCGAGACAGAAAGACAGACAGACAGAGCGATCGATGGACGACGGGGCGCTTTCCATTAACCGTAGAGAGGCAGAAACAGGAAGCAGGCTGTTTACTAACATCCAAGCCACTCAAGGGAAGTATTGGATAGTAGCCTGCTGCACTTAAAGCTCTTCATTTTCAACCGCGACGAATACAGTCTCGCATATTTGGGACCTGGCCACTCAATTTTGTCGGCTTCACATCCCAAAACTTACCGTCGACGAGATTCTTCACTTTTGCAAGGCGGTTGAACAATGTCCACATTCGAGGAAGTGACTACAGAAGAGCTCGAAGCTCTCGAAAGCATCTACGTGGATGAACTCGAGAGTGAGCATCATGGTCGCGTCGAATGATCGTCTCGTATACTTCCTGATCTTTCACCACCTCTGCCTCACTACCATTCAGAGATATCCGAAGACGAGTTGCGCATTCGAATAGACTCTGAAGATGACATCTCAGCAGCTCCTTCGAACGCCACCAATGGGGATGAAGAGCCAGAAGGCAGGGAAGAGGCATTCCGACTATATTTGAATGTCAAGTACACGCCTGGGTATCCCGACGAAGTACCTAATCTGAAGCTGGAGAGCGCGGGAGATACGATCGATGAGCAAGCAAGAGAAGAGATGCTGAAAGACCTCAAAGCTGTTGTGAGCCTTATACATGATGCACCACGTTTTGAAACCTTGCAACGCGACATTGTGATCTGACGCGACCACAATTGCTAGGCTGAGGAGTCTCTCGGGATGGCCATGGTCTTCACTTTGGCGTCGCACATGCGCGAAAGTCTTACGGATTGGATACACCGGCAAAAAGAGGCCAAGGAAAGAGATGAGACGGCGCGTAGAGAGGCAGAGCTGGAGGTGAGCCCGCACGGCGTCGGTTGCGAGTGCATGTTTCCATTTTGACTTGACCCGCGTGCTCGATTCGCAAATTTGTCCAGGCTGAGCAGGAAAAGTTTCGAGGAACTGCAGTGACGACCGAACGCTTTATGGAATGGCGAAGAAAGTTCGAAGCTGAGCGGCGGACAGAACAGGCCAAGCAAGAAGAAGAAAAGCTCAAGGGCATGACTGCCAAGGAGCGCGAAGAGCACAAGCGCTGGAAAACTAAACCCTCTGGAAAGGAACTCTTCGCAAAAGGCACCATAGTTGAGTCTGCAGCTGGAAAGGGCGACGAAGCCGACGGAGAGGAGATCGACTGGTCATTATATAGCAGAGAGGAGCGGGAAAGACTGCGAAGAAAGGAGGAGGAGGAGGCAGAGGCAGTAGCCCAGATGGAGAATGTACACTTTGACTCAGACGACGATTGAATGCTGCACATTTGGCGAGCAGCTCATCTTCTAGACCCCATCTCAAGGCCAGTCGGCCGACTGCAACTGCGACGTGATCTCGAACAACCGGAACAGTGTCCTGCCGATCGCAGAGATGTGCTGGTCGTGACTCGTGAATTTGACGCTTAACTGCTGTAGTGAAGCACATCAAGGGCAGCCAAATCACCCGTAGCATGGCGGCCTGCCTATCTGACTGTATTCTTGCTCAATATTCATGTACTCGCACGAATGTAAATGGTGCGGTTAGGTGTCGTGGATGCACGGCGTGCACCTCGGAATTCTTGATTGCAATGTGCGTCCGAACGGAACCTCTACCTTCGGCAGCCTCTTCGCAGAAAACACCTTTTATTTTTCGAGACGCGATCGGCATTTTGTTGAAGGCCTTCGAAAAGCAATCGGCACCGTCATTGACAACCCGTCCAGGTTTTAGTGCTTCAAAGCCCCATCTATTGGAAGAAGCGATGCCAACACAAGTTGACGATAATCGGAAACTGTACTACTTTCCAATTGAGACTCACGACTGTTGCAAGGATTTGAGCTGTCCACACAGCAAGAGGCGAGAGAATTCGCCCAAGACATGGGCAACAATAACGAGCAACAAAGCATGATAACGCAAACGAGTCCTACCCCGTCACACTCCCTGCAGGGGGAGCCAGAGCAGCCTGTAGATACAGAGAATGCGGGACCTTCCTCTACGCAAGAAGGGTCCCGCGATCAGGTGGGCGAAGCTTCAGGGAACTCTAGCGCTGCTGTGGGGGCCGACGCGGTCTTGTCCAAAACTCAGCAAAAGAAAGCACTTAAGAGAGCAAGATTTGAGGAAGTCAAGCTGATCAAACGACAAGCCGAGAGGGCGCGCAAAAAGCAACGGAAGCAGGAATTCTGGGAACAAAAGAAAATTGAGGTCGCCAATGGTCGCATATCAGAAGACGAGCTCAAGGGAAAGGGCAAGCAGTTAGCACAACAGCCTGTCCGACCCTACAATATCTCCGTTGTGCTAGACTTCGGATTTGACGAACTGATGGTAGAAAAGGTGTGCATACTGTCTCACGATAGCATCCGAATGTGCAGTGGCGAGTAGCAAATCGTAATTGACACCAATCCATCTTGCTACCGCAGGAGATCGTCTCCTTGTCTTCCCAGCTCAGCCACATCTACTCGTCCCAGAGACGCTCATCATACCCCGTCGACAACTTATATATCGTGGGCCACGGGTCTCATCCGGGAACTTCATTTGCCGAGGCCAAACAGCTCCAGTTACCGCCGAAAGCGAGGGCCCCAATAGCATCTGAGAAGATCCTGGATTCTGCGCTTGGTCAGAGAATGCAGAGCGCTTGGAAAGGAGTCTGGAAACGATGGAAGCATCTTGCCATTCTCGAAGCGGGAGGTGTCGAGGACTTGCTGACCAAAGAGGGCTCTGAAGGCGAGGGGCTCCAACCACAAGTCCCGCTGAAGTTCCTGAATGAGCTTGGAGGCAAGCATTCCCCAAAGCAACATCAAGCGCTCCGTCAGCGTAGGCTACGCCGCGAAGATGTCATATACTTGACCGCTGATTCCCCCCACACTCTAGAAGTGCTCGAGGAAGGCAAGACGTTTGTTATTGGGGGTATTGTAGACAAGAATCGATACAAAGTGAGCGACCTACGCCCGAACCCTTGGCTCCTAGCTTTCGGCCCGACACTGACGCTGAGCCTATCATCTTCTAGAATCTTTGTGCGCGCAAAGCAGAAGCCCTCGGGTTCGCAACCGCACGGTTGCCTATTAATGAAAAGAATTTGCAACTACCAGATGGGAGGAAGCTGGAGACGCGCAAAGTACTGACGGTGAATCAAGTCTTTGACATCCTGCTTGGATGGTGCGAAACGAAAGATTGGCCGCAGGCTTTGGCGCGCACTTTTCCCGTTCGTAAACTCAAGCCTACCAGCACCCCGGTGAGCGTCTCGCGTATCCTTGATGGTGATGCTTCGAAGATTGGCGCCGATTCAGACGAGACGGCGTCTTCCCCTCAAGAAGGTGATGAAGGTGAGGTCGACGCACAAGCCCCGCAAGCAAGCGCAGCGGTCGAACAGGACGAGGACGACCTCTTCAATTCTCGATGACAGTGGTGTCGCATCAGAGATGTCCCATGGATGTATGCCAATGCTTGCAGTGGATGGTATATTACAGAATTTGATAAGGTGTCTTTGAAAAGGTCCGCACGCTTGCCAGCCTCTTCGTGAACGGACGGAAGCGTGTTGCGTCAGGCACTCGATCTGCCGTGAAATAAAGGCGCCGGAAAATCCGAGTCCAGCAGAGCTACCCTCGAACGTGCGCCTTGATCTGGTCAAGATTGGTGCCAAAATTCTATTCCCTGTACGTTGGGTGTTCCTGGATGAATTACAGTATTTGATGCTCGTTAGAGACGTACCGCCGGAACGTGTACCCCAAGAAGGGAAGGTCGGACTGCTTGCTGCTTGAGTCCGTCGTCGGCATGTCTGGTACCTCATTGAGGTCGTCAGTAGGGAAATAGGATGTATCAGTGATGCTCTTGAGCGCAGGAATGAAAGGTGCATCGATCTGGCGGATGGTGGTCCAGTCGACACCCGCAAAGAAGGGGTGGTCCTTGATGTCCTGCGCGCCGTTGCGGCCCAGTCGGTTCTCCGGTTCGCGCAGAAAACTGCGAGAGGAGGGATGGGCGGGTCAGTTTGCCTGAAATGACTACCAAAACATTTCCGGGTGTGCAATTGTAAGCCCCGATACTGACTTTCTAATCATGCCTTCTGCCTCGGGGCTGAGATGGATGTCATCGGGGAACTGCAGCGTCTCCCTCCACGCGAGGATCTTGCGGTACGTGTCGTGCGCATTCTCGGAGCAAAAGGGCGGGTAGCCGCAGAGACACTCGAACATGATGGCGCCGAGGCTCCACCAATCGCACTCGTTGCTGTATCCCTGCTGCAGGAAGATCTCCGGCGCAATGTAGTCTGGAGTGCCGACCGTTGAGTACGCCAGCTTCCGCCGGTTTGCCTTCCACGTAGCGATGGCGTCCTTGCTGCTGAGCGTTAATGTGATCGGGTTCACCGCGACCGAGTTGCGCCCGGCTTGCGGCGCGCCGTTCGTCGTGCCGCCTTCAAGAAGCTTTTGGTAGTATGCAGAGTCATGCTGCTTGTGGAAGCCGGTCGAGAGGCCAAAGTCAGAGAGCTTGATGTGGCCTTTTGCGTCGATGAGGATGTTATCCGGTTTGATGTCACTGGAAAGGTTGAAGTTATGTGTGCGTGCGCGGGGTAAGAATCGATAGCCGTAGCTAGTCGCCGGGCGTGTATTGCAATTCAACATCGCAAACACTCACCGATGAATGAAGCCAAGCTTGTGAATGGCCTCCAAAGCCAAGACGCACTCTCCCATGTAGAACCGTGTCACATCCTCGGAGAATGTATCGTACTTGATGAGCATCGTCATGAGATCACCACCGGGCAGGAATTCCATCAGCAGATAAAGGTACTGCGGGTCCTGAAAGGAATAGAACAGCTGTACGATCCAGGGCGAATTTGACTCTGCCAAAACGTCACGCTCGGCGCGAACGTGGGCAAGCTGTATGCAAACATGAATGTGGACACTCCGTCCGTCAGCATCATCGTGCAAGCAGTTAAGAATGCTCGATCGTCAAGCGACACGGCACAGACACTGAACGCACCTGATCTTTCTTGAACATTTCGCTCTTCCGAAGCGTTTTCATCGCATAGATCTTCCCTGTATCCGCCTTCTGCACCAGCCTAACCTCACCAAAGGCACCTTTCCCGATAACTTTGACAGTCCTAAAGTCTTCCAAGCCCAGGCGCGTCCGGCGGAGGCGTAGGAAATTGCTCTCGCGACGCCCGAGCTGCGCCAGCTGCCGCTGCTTGCGGTCTTCTGGCACATCCTGCGCCGCGGCGAGGCGCTTCTCCAGCTCGACGCGCCTGCCGGTCCGCTCGATGGCCTGCTCGACGGCGATCTTGTAAAAGTGCTCCAGCTTCAGCTTGGCGCCCGTCGCCGCGTCGATGGTGTCCTTGCTTATGCGGTCAAGCTTGCGCTCAAAGTAAACATAGTCAGACCCCTTTTCTGCGCTCCCGCTTGCGGCCGAGGCGGAAGCGGTGGAGGGTGCACCGACGGCGCCGGAGGGAGAGGGAGAGGCGCGCCGCGCGGCAGGCCGACTAGAGTGGGGTGCACGCTCGCCGCCACCTGAGGCAGCAAGGCCGGGGCTAGGGGAGCGAGTGTATGTTGTGGCAGTAGCAGCAGCTTGCGTGTTGCCGTACTGCGCCTGGAGCTGCTGCTGCTGCTGCATCTGGAACTGTTGCTGCTGATGCTGCAGTTGTTGGGCCGCATGTTGCATTGCAGGGTGCTGCAACTGCTGGGGTGGCGCTTGCGCCTGAGCTGCCAGCGCTGCCGCTTGTATCTGCGCCTGGAGTTGAGCCTGAGAGTATGTTGTTTGTTGTGCGTAGGCTATCAAGAGGGAAAGCATGAAAGAAGCATAAAGTCAGCCACTGAAGCAGCAACGGAAGCTGCGAGCGCGCCGCGGGCCCTCACCTTGCGTCTGCGCAAAACCGCCTTGGGCCGCAGTGTTGAATGTGTACGATGGCACACCATGGCTGCCGCCGAGCGCATGTTGCTGCACCATGCCGTTCTGGCTCAGGCCGGAAAGATCCATATGCGAGCCAGCGCCGTACGCTGCGATGTGAGGCGCATACTGCGCTCCGTACACCTGTTGGCCGGCACCAGCAGGCCCGTTTCGGTACGCCATCGTAGCCCTCCGTTTCCACTCTTGTTGAGGAAGGAGAGTGTATGCTGCGGCGAGTTGTCAGATGGGAAGCCGAACGATGGTGGTCGATCCTATCGTCGCGATGTTGAGACTTGAGCAGTGCTCGGCATAACCAACGTGTTTGAATGTTCGTCGCTCCTGGCGCTGCACCCTTCGTCGAGTCGCCTCTGTCTTTGCGTTGCAGCACTGATGACCGGAGTGCCTTGAAGGGGTACGAGAGTAAACCCAACAGGTAGAGAGCAAGCACCCCAGGACGACGTAAACGAATGAGAGCCGTTTAGACCAAACCACAGCACCACGACGACGCCCACCCATGGCGAGAGTGGTTGAGTTGGGTGGATATGCTCCTCCGCATGAGCAGCAATGGCTACTGACTCCTCCAGTGCTGCGGCCAGAGAGGCGCACGCCCCGCGCGTCTGTCGTCTGCGCTAGTTAGTCCAGCATATCGCGCACATCACACTTTAGGGTTGCTCCCAAGTAGCGATGGACACCAACGGCACGCAATTCATAAATATGCTAATGTGAAGTACAGGACTGGCGACCCATCGCAAAGGGTCCGCACCGCGAGCTACTGCGCATGCTCGAGGAACTCTGCTCCTGCCGCAGCGTCCAGCGCCATCGCCTCTTTCAAGCCCATCTCATCGAAGACATCATGAATACCTCCCTGATGTCCGTCGCAGGCGGGATCCTTGCCGTCCGCCATCAGGCTGTCCAGCGCCTTCGATATCGCCGTACGTACAGGGAGGTGCAGAGCCGGGAAGATGGCAATCTTGAACCCGAGCGCTTGAATCTCGTCCACGCATCAGTTCGACTTCTAGCCGCCACCAGGAACGAGGTTGATTAAATACGGTGTAGGATGCAGTGCTTGCAACCACCTTGCGAACGTCTCCTTCGGTCTTGATCGCTTCGACGAAGGACAACTTGCTTGACCATCAGGTTTCCCTAGCGCTTCAATTACACGTGACCCTCAACGTACAGCGCCGCTACCCCGACGCGCGCGTACATAGTGAATGTCCGCGCGCAGCACAGCGAGCTGCCATAGCCCGTGTCGGCGTCGATGATCACTGGAACTGGAGCAGGCTAAGCAACAGAGGCCGTGCTGCTGCTATCGCTGCTCGTGGCGTCGCTCAGTTCCGCGAGCATGGCGGCGCTCGACGCCATCTTGCTCAAGCCAGCCACACCTAGGTCAGGACCGCCAAGCTTGGATGCCACCGTAGTCATGTAAAGTGCATGTTGCGATCTTCACAAAATGTCAGGCGTGGAGGAACAATGAGCGATATCAACAGGAGTGAAATAGACTGAACACCTTGAAGCCCTTGCGCAATGCCGCCCGTCCCGAACTTGCATAGTACACTAAGGTTGAGACGATGAGTTTGCCTGAAGCAAGCTCCTGCCGCAGCTGAGCCGCCGCTGCATTCAGACCTGCCATGCCCGTGTGACAGTCTTACCAAGCACATACCGATTCACCGTGCGTCAGGAGGTATTACGACACTGCAAGATGGAAGGTTTGAATAACGTCGGGTTGACGCCGACGAGGTAACTTGAAACAATGAGCTCCCCACGAGAACCACGACCGGAATCAAGAGTGAGCAAACTGACAGTCACAGCTAAGGAATGGGGCAATCGGATTAGGGTTGGTGCATTTCCCAAAAGTAAGTTACCAGGCTGGTGGAATTTACAGATTCTTGCGCGAGCAGGTTGCTAGCTTCCTGCCTTGCAGCCCGTCACTCCTCTCTAACAAGATATCTTCAGCGACCCGCTGATAGCTGGCGCCTGGAGCAGAGCAAGGCAGAGGCTGTTGCTCCAGCAAAGCAAGCACGCACAACGCTCGCCATGATCAGCCCTCAGCTCCTTCGAGGCGCCGCTAGGAGCGCAATAGGCGCTCGTCCGAGCGTCCTTGCTGCGACCACCGGCTCGCGGCTTGTCGCTGTCGGCGCACCCTCCTTCCGCCGATCCTTGGCCAGCGAGGCAGATCCGCAAAGCACCAGGCCTCAGGTCAAAGCAGCTGCGACTAGCAGTCATGCCATTTCCACGCACCTGGTCGAGGACCTGCACTACAAGAGCGCTCAAGAGATTCTCGCTGAGGGTGGCACCAGGAAGGAGGCCGCCCTAAGGCACTTTACTGTCAACTTTGGGTACGTCTCCTGGATGCTTGCGTCTTCTGGGCGGGTCCCAGCTGACCGATCATGTTTTCCACTTCTGCAGTCCTCAGCACCCGGCTGCACACGGTGTACTGCGCCTAATCCTGGAGCTCAACGGGGAGGAAATCCTGCGGACAGATCCACATGTCGGGCTGCTGCACCGCGGGACTGAGAAGCTTATCGAATACAAGACCTACACACAGGCCCTACCCTACTTTGACCGACTCGACTACGTTTCCATGATGACCAACGAGCTGTGCTACTCGCGCGCCGTTGAGAAGCTTCTCAACATCGAGGTTCCCGAGCGTGAGTGGTGGTACCAGGAGCAAATAAGCTGCACGAATGCTGATTTCGCTTGGTTCATTGATGCTACAGGCGCCAAGTGGATTCGAACCATGTTCGGCGAGATCACGCGTATCCTGAACCACTTTATGGCTGTTCTCTCCCACGTGAGTCCAGCACCGTCGACGAAGCGTGCAATCCTGCTCCCGGCTCACCCGATGCTAACGCTCGATTATTTTTCTCCTGTAGGTCATGGACGTCGGAGGTCTCACACCTTTCCTTTGGGGTTTCGAGGAGCGTGAAAAGCTGATGGAGTTCTACGAGCGTGTGTCCGGCGCGCGACTCCACGCTGCGTACGTCCGGCCTGGCGGTGTTGCGTATGACCTGCCTGTTGGGCTGCTGGACGACATCTTCACCTGGGCGGTCCAGTTCAGCTCGCGCATTGACGAGATCGAGGAGGTTGTCACGAACAACCGTATTTGGAAGGAACGCACTATCGGTATCGGAAAGGTGTCAGCCGAAGACGCGCTGAACTATGGCTTCACCGGTGTCATGTTGCGTGGCAGCGGCATCCCTTGGGACATTCGCAAGGTCCAGCCCTATGACGCGTACGACCAGGTCGAGTTCGACGTCCCAGTCGGCAAGAACGGTGACTGCTATGATCGGTACCTGTGCCGTGTGGAGGAGTTCCGACAGTCTCTGCGCATCATCGAGCAGTGCCTGAACAAGATGCCGGCCGGCCAGATCAAAGTTGACGACCACAAGCTGGTTCCGCCGCCGCGTGCCAACATGAAGGAGAGCATGGAGTCGCTCATTCATCATTTCAAGCTCTTCTCTGAAGGATATGCAGTCCCGCCGGGTGAGACGTACAGCGCGATCGAAGCGCCAAAGGGGGAGATGGCAGTCTACCTTGTCTCGGATGGATCCAACCGGCCGTACAGGTGCAAGATCCGCGCACCGGGCTTTGCCCACCTTGCTGGTGCTGACATGCTCGCGCGCCACCACTACCTTCCGGACATGGTGCGTACTGAAGTCGTTCCAGCTTGTCCGGTATTGATTTGTCACTGACACCCTCCCCCCGTATCTTCAGGTTGCCATCATCGGTACGATGGACCTTGGTGAGTCACAGCAGCAACCAAACTGTGTCTTGATGCATGATCCACGATCTGACAAAACTTACGCGTTCCCTTTTGCAACTCCTTCTGCTTCCCTCCTAAAAGTATTTGGTAAGTCTTCTGCCGTGGCCTCGCTCAGTGAAATCACACTTGCTAACTTGACCCTTTCAACCTGTGCGAACAGGCGAGGTCGACCGTTAATGTAGAAAGTTGCAGCACGTGAATTGCGATTCTTCTGACTGCCATGTGCCATGTGTGGATACGCACGGCGGTGCTTGTGTGAGATCGAGGTTGCACAGGGGCTCCACCCCGAAGCTATGTCCATCGCCGTGCGTTGACCTGGCTTCTTGGAGAAAGATAAATATAGGGAGCAGATGTATCATGATATCCCGCCACAGCGGAGCCGCACAATGCCCTCATCCTGATCTGCGATTCCATTTTCCTTTACATTGAAGTGTGAACATGAACTAGGGTGACCCAATGTACCTGACTGCCGACACGAATGCCGAGCCTCGACAGACGCAACGGGGGCAGTGCACGCAGCGAGGGGCCGTACCTGCCCTCGAGATCTCGCGCCAGGCCGCTCAGCATCTGCGCCTTCACCAGTTTGTCATGGGTCGTTCCATCCTTGACGGGTGCACAAGAGGTGGAGAGATCGGCGGTCAAGAAGCTAAAATGGAAGCGCTTTGCTGCGTAATATGGCCGCGCCTTGAATGCGGTGCGCAAGTACGAATCGAGGCGGCTGCTCATTGTCTGCAGCTATAAAATGCATTGTGCGCATGTAGCCAAGTGTAGTAAGAGCCGCATAGAAGCCGGCCATGTTACAACATGGTATCAGCACTCATTCGAAAGACGCCAGGGGGAATGCAAGCACGCATAATGTCTCGCTCACCTCGTCGTGGCCCACACTGATCTCGACCGCGATAAACCCTCTGGACTCATCCTCATTGATCAGATGTGCGAATCGGGCAAAAGAGACCGTCGAACTAATGCAGTCCGTGAAGAGAAAGATATAGGTTCAGCAGAAGTTGCATCCCGTAAGTCACGGTGCACTCACGCGGCAACGTCATTCAGCGCTTCCTTAACAATCAATACGAACGACTGCCGCTCGTGTGGGCGTACTAGTATCGGCCGCGTCAGAGAAACGTGCAGAGTACTTTCTCCCTGTCGGATCTCGGTCTGCGAGAGGACATATTGAGGGGAATGATTAGCTGGGAGACGCAGCGGTTGGGCACTGAAAACCTTGCCGAGCGCACCTCGCGGATGCCTTGCAATTGCGATCGGCCATCTTTGCTGGCCTTGTGGAGGAGACTTGTCAGATCAGCACGGGCGTGGACTTCTAGAAAGGCATGGCAAAGCCAGTCTCCCTTGCATTTCATGGCTGGGAGCATCTCTGCACTGCTCCCATCCTTCGCACCGTTTCCGGAGAGGTCAACGACTGGGAGCTTCCTGTGCCGATCAGACCGGCGTCAATTACGAATCGAGGTCGGTACAGCAGATGGATCGTCCAGACGTACCTCCTCTTTCTCTCCTTTGTCAGCGGGTCTGTGACCTCATCCGGGGGTTGCGAGCACGAGTGACTGGGTCTCTTGATAATCTTAGTATCTGATACGGATGATGCCGCCGTATGGCTTACTATCACGGTCTCCGACTTCAAGCTCGGCTCGCCTTCCGACTCCGAGTCAGAGTAACTGACGAGCATCGTCGGCGCAGCATGGCGGTACCTTGACCAGCCGCTTTGCTTGAACACCTGTGCAACCGAACGCTACTCACAGTCGCTGCATCACCGTTTCAACGACTGAAATATATTTACTGAATGACAAGTTTGGGAAGAGGTGTACAGCGACGAGCATGTGAACAGGGAGCATAGCGAGTGTGCGAGCAGCCGGTCACGTCACTGCCATCTCACACACTGCGCGATCACATCTCAAAGCGAAAGACCGCGAACGTCGAGAGCGGCCTATCTTTACTGGTCTACAGCACATACCTACCACCTCAGCCCCATTAATCCAATTCCAACAAAAGGTCTAACTGGACTCGCTCATTGGCACGCCGGGGTAAAAGTTTTGACGGACTTGTACCTTTGATTCAACAGGAGCAGCCAAGCTCGTGTCTTCGTCACCACCCAGGCGCCGCGTCCAAGCCGTGCTGCGCTCGACCTCATACTCGCTGGCTACACTACCGTGCGACTGGCTGCACAAAGCGACAAGGAGTTGTCGTTCATCCATCGCTCAAGATGTCATCGACGTGAGTAAGTGGCGCTTGGCGTCCGAATCCAGGGAAGCAGCGAATCAAGAGCAACTTGGCAAGGGACATATCCTAGAGAGAAGAAGCATCATGTTGACTTGGCTGTTACGCCACCATTGATCCAGCTACGACAAGATCGTCAAATCGGCAACCAAGCCGAAAGGCTCAGTCGTCAAGTCAAAGTACCTGGATCCCATCCTTGCCAGCACCTTCGCCCAAGACCGCAGCCTATTAGAAGTATGTCGGTCGTTAGGATCCAGGCTGCGAGAGCGGGACCCAGTGGTGAGTCGCCGGGCGTATATGCCAGGCGTTTGCATCAAATGCTGCTGACAGACTCTGACCTGGCCTACCCTGTGCAATGTTCTAGGTGATCTACAAGTCTTTGATCATCCTGCACACCATGATCAGAAATGGAGGGGTAGAAAACGTGTTAAGTCACGTCCTGCGAGATGAGACGGGTGCTCAGCTCAAGATTCTAGCTGGCCGAAGTAGCAGCTCAAGTGGGTCGCTCTCGCACTCCGGCCTCGGCCTACGCAGATAGACTTCTATTCGTATTGGTGCTCACATTGTCACTGCTTCCGATACAACAGCAACGCCTCGTGCACCGCGGATCATCCGAGCGTACGCCGCTTTTTTGGATGATCGTGTACGTGCGTTTAGAGAACTGGGGCACGATGTCATCCGCTCATCTGATTCCAGTAGAGAAAATGGCTCTGGCAGCAGGGAAAATGCAACGGGAGACGGCAACCGCCTGAGGCGCTTGACAGTGGATAAAGGGCTTTTGCGTGAGGTCGGTATCACGCAAAAGGTCGGCAATGCGGCTCTTAACTGTGATGTGAGTCAGTTTCGAGCGCAAGCTGAGGTGTGAGCCATTGCTGAGTGCGATGCGCCTACAGTTTTTTCTCGAGGATCTCCGTGATGAGCTCAACTTGGCAGCTTTTCGCCTCTCGTTCAAAGACGTACTAGTCTTGTACGCTGCCATCAATGAGGGTGTCATCAATATTCTTGGTACGTCCGAAGATTGGTCGTGTACTTGTTCGTTCAACTCTGATGTGTCGCGTTGCGCAGAACACTACTTCGAGATGGCAAAATCTGATGCAGAGCGCGCACTGGAGCTCTACAAGCGCTTCTGCACGCAAACTGAAAAGGTGGTCGCATACATGGCAGCGGCGCGCAAGGTGTCTGGGTCGCTAAATCTCACAGTACCTTCTCTCAAGCATGCACCATTAAGCCTTGCTGGCGCGCTCCAAGAGTATTTGGAAGACCCGAATTTTGAAAAGAACCGCTTGGAGTACAAGGAGAACAAGCGAATTGCCGATGGTGGTGCTCCTAGGAAGGCTTCCAAGGGCGCCGCCAAAGCGAATACGAGTAATGTAAAAGAGGGTGAGAAGAGAGCGGAGGATGAGAAGAAGGTTGCGGCTCCGGCAGTCAAGCCGCCGACGAGCAACCAAGCGGTGCAGGACTTCTTTGCCTCGATCGAAAGCAACGATGCGAACAACATGTTCAGCATGGGCCCACAAGACGCTTGGGCGGGTGCATATGGGTCTTTCGGGATACAACCGCAGATAACCGGCTTCCCAGGTGGTATGGATGCGCTTCAACCTCAAATGACGGGCTACAATCCATTCTTATCCGGAATGATAAGTCAGCCGACCGGCTATAGTGGGATGCAGCTGCAGCAACCGCAGCCATTCATGCAGCCGCAAACAACTGGCTTCTTGCAGCCACAGGCGACAGGCTTCAATCCTTTCAGGCAGAGCGTGATGGTGCAGCCTGCTGGGGGCTTTGGAAGCGTGTCGCCCTTTGGCACCTTTGGGCAACCGGGAGGCACGTCGAGCATGGGTGCCGCGAATGGCACGCATATCCAGCCGCAGCAGTCGATGTTCCCCCTCGTCAACACGAGCCAGAGCCAATCAAGCATTGCGTCCGAAATGATGCTGTCTGCAAACTCAATTACAATCGCTCCGAGCTCAACTGCAACTGCACCAGCACCAACACTAACACTGGCATCGGCATCGGCACCGAAACCTTCGGCAGCGGTAACGGCAACGCCAGCGCCAAAAGCTGTGCTTCCACAAAAGACCGGCTCGCGGAATCCCTTTGCATCACCTGCAGTCTCCACGCCCCCACCTGATGTCTCCAAGCCGCAAGGTCTGACGCTCGCTCAACTTGCCTCTGGAGCTGGTAATGCTCCGCCCGGCGGCAACTACGGGCTCGGCGCCAATGCGTGGGATGGGACGGACCCGACCAAGCCTGGCGGGTTGCAACCGCAGCAAACGGGCATTATGGGCAGCGTCGCCTCGGAGCTTGCTTTCGTCAAGCCGCAGCAGAATGGGAACAGTGCAGGCTCGTCAGCCAGCTCAACTGTGCCGAATCAGCCGAACGGATCCGCTGGCCTCGATTCAAGCTTTGCTGAAATGAACCTAGGTGCATTGGGCAACGGAACCACAACTGCCTCGCAATCCCCTTCTACTGCTGCTGTATCAGCAACACCTCTGGCGGCGCAGCCCACTGGTTTTGGGGGTATCAAGCCATTCAAGCCCGAGTCGAGCTTTGGCGCCAGTCTGGCGAGCAACCCGGCCTTTACTCTCCCCGGTCCGGACACGCCAGGAGCATCGGCGCTGAGTCCGCAGCTGACAAGCAACCCTTTTACGAGGCCAAATGCTGGAGCTGGAGCTGGCCTTGGCCCTAGCTCCTCGCTCTTTGGAACACCGAGTACACACAGCAACTCTTTGCCGTCTGGCCCCACTGCGACCACCGGCACTTCGTCGTTCCTCTTCGCCCAACCTAGCGCCTTTGGCCCGCTCATGACACAAGCGACAGGTTTTGGGTCGTTCAGCTCGCAACAGCCTCTTTCTGCTGCGGCCTCCTCGCCCTTCATGCTCTCCGCATCGGCGTCGCAGTCGACGCAACAACAACAACAGGCCATCGGACTTTCATCATCCTTTGCACCGGCATCGTCGCTCGCACCATCTGGATCGTCTGCGCTGACCGCACAGCCGACCGGCTTCGCAGGCTCAACCATTAAGCCGTTCCAGCCGACGAGTGCGTTCGGCGCCGCTGCGTTTGGAGCCATGCCTTCGTCGCCGCCGCAGCAGCAGCAGGGACCCCAACCTGGTCAGCAGGGCCAGCAGCATTCGGCCTTTGCGTCTCTTATCTAGACACATTAACTGTGGAGCGAGGTGAACGAGATAGAATAGCTTGTATGCTTGTGAAGATAATTTGTGCAAAAAGGTCCTCTTCCTCACCTTGTCTGACGTGCGAGCGAAACTTTATCGACAAACTCAGTCAACTTGGCCACGGATGGAACATGTCACTTTTGAAAGGAACAAGGCCCCGCTTTCGGCTCGGGTGGACATTTGCATTGAAAGTGCCTAGATTCAAATGCGCTCCAAGTGGGGTTAGAAACATGGGGACTGTGGCCCTGGGTTTATTTGCGTCGATGAGGGGAAAAACTAGTCTACATCCGCGACCCCCTTGCTCTATTGCCTTCCTTTCAATACTGAGCTTTCTTTTTCTCGTTGCCGAGATTTCCATTCCATCTACAGGAGCGTTTGCAAAAGAAAGTGGAGAGCCGGTCGGTTTTGATTGTGTATTTGTCTGTTCGCTAACGACGTGCATGAGACTGCTCGCTTGCTCCCTCCTAATCGACATGTATGCTGTTCGTACTCTCAACCGTACCGCTGGTCGTACCTGCTCTGGAAGATGCTGCCAGGCTGCGCCGAAAGCGGCGCGTCCTGGTAATGGGATGTGGGTGTCGGCTCGTGTTGCCAGTCTGTGTCTTGCTCAATGGTGATATTGATGGTGCGGCCCATGGACATGCGCTTCGCCTGGCCCGACGTTTTCGTTGTGCTGATAGAATCAGGCGCGCTGCCGATGTCCCTTGCGTCAGTCGTCTTTTTTTCGGATGTGTCGGCAGCAGATGCAGCAGGGACACCGGCAGGGTGCGCGGCACTCACGTAAGGGCCCATTGGCTGACGGCCACCGGTTGGGCGGTAGGGGACTGAGACAGCTTGGCCGGAGCGGGCGGACATCTTGGACTCTTCGCTGGTGCGCGAGGATGAGCCGGGGCGGTACGCAGCAGCGCCTGAGTTGACGACGTACGACTGCTCGAGGAAGCGCTTCTCCTGCATGTCCTTCTCGATCAGGTCACGGCGGAGCGCATAGACCACCGTGATGAACCAGAGGTCCAGCAGCTGGTAGACGACCCAGACACTGACGATGACAGAGGCGAGGATGTTATGCGCATGCGTGCAATCGTCCTTCGACGTCTTAGAGTCGAACGGCCCACCATGCGCCTGGGCGTACGACTTGGCAACGCAGCTGTCGATGACCTGTTTGTAGCGGGGGCAGAAGAAGTCAATGATTTCGTCCGGATGCAAAGAATCAGAGTAGCTCTCTCACCATTCCTCTGTTCTTGAAGACAACGACAACGTTCCAAAGGCCGATGATAAAAGTGCAGACCCAGAGGATGGTGAGGACAACGGCGTAGAAGGCGACCGCCCTGCGCTTGCGCAGAATGGCGCCAAAGAAGCCGACCCAGGATGCGACGAAGAGGAGCAGATTGGTGAATCCAAAGATCACGGCAGGAATCACAAGCGGCGTGTTCATCGCGTTAGTTGAGATGATAACAAATGTGCCGGCGAGGAAGAGGGTGGCAATGATGATCGCGATCAGCGACAGGGAGGCCACCGCGCCCCTGTTGGGGATGCAGCAGCAGGGTTGTCTCGCCATTTTCCCTTGCAGAGTGTGTACTTGTGTGAGAGAGGCAATGGTTTTGACACAAGTAGACCAGCTACTTTCTAATATTCTTCTCCTTTGGATGCAGAGGCCGAGTTAAAGTAGTGAAGAGTGTTCGCAAGAAAGACGACCAGCGCCTTTTGATTTCTCAAGGAAGAGAGATAGATGGAAGGGGAATAGAGGGAAGGGAAAGACGAGGGAAAGGCGGAGGACAAAGTTTACTCGATGACGGGAGGCTGGCTCGAGGGAAAGGAGGAAAGTCTGCAAACGCAGTACTGGGATATATATATATATATATTTACTCGCTTCTGTGGGCGCGACGTGTGTAGATAGCGAAGGTGTGGAGGTGGATCCATGCGGGGCTGGTGGCGATGCCTCTTCACACTGGCCCAGTGCTGGAATGAGACAAATCACCTGCCTCGGAACATCCGAGACAATCGAGTGTCGGTGTGGAGCTCCTGTCTGTACGCCCACGCCTGCCTGCAACCGAACGCCCACCCGGTCCCGCAGTATGAGCCCGTAAATCTCGCCTGCTGGTCTCGGCGCGGTGCGTTGGTGAGACTGGGTTTACAAAAGTACATCAACCCTTCGTCGTTCGCACAGCCGGTGCTGAGATCAGCACGTGGGTACGATGCATGGCTGCACAATGACGGCGGACACCATCAGGCACACGCGCACGCCTGCACCCACGCTTGCTACGCACAGCGTCGACCCCGCCACCGCTATCGCGATGGCATACACAGCAGCCGTAGCTGAACTTGTCAGCCCGCCGAGGAGCATTACGGTTGCCCAGGTCAGCGACAGCAGCAGCAGTTGGAAACCGCTACTTCTTAACCTAACCCCCCCTTCCCGCCAGCAGTGCCCACGCAACGAAACCGCTCCGGAAGCTGTGCAGCAAGCAGGTGGGCTCGCTCTCCTCCTTCTAGCATGGCTGGTGGTCATGCAGACCACTACATGGGACTCGACGATGGAGAGCATCAGCAGCAGCAGCAGCATCCTTGGGAGTTTATCTACGTCAAGCCAGATGATGAGATTAGCACGTGGCTCAAGTGCGCAATCTGCCTGTGAGTCGTATCTGGAACCAGCTTAGCCTGGACAGATCGTCATCATCATCACTGACTGACTTTTTGCCTTTTGCCTGTGTTTGTTGCGGTTATGCGTCGATGAGAAACAGGAACGTATTTGTCGAGCCGTACATCGCAACACTGTGCCAGCATACCTTCTGCAAGCTCTGCATCCTCAAAGCGTTCGAGGCTCGCGCAGAATCCGCCATCGAGTCTCCCACGTTCCAGCATCAGAACACGCCCAGCGCGGACGGCCTCGACCCGCTCCAAGATGGTTGGCTTTGGCGCGAGCAGCAAACGCATCAAGCTGCAGAGCTGGGTGTCTCCATAGCAGCAGCCTCCGCCTTCCAACGTGAACCTCACACCGCGCGGCGAATACGACGGCGCAGCGCCTCCCTCCCTTCCTCGTCCTCGTCACTCACTTCTCCCCACGAAAACCTCCCGCGGTCAGTACAGCCTTCAGCGTCAACACCGACCTCATCCAGCGCGCCGTGCCCCAACTGCCGTGCGCCGCTGCACCTCGACGACGTCGTGCCGGCTACGGCGTTGGTGCAGCAGCTCGTCGACAGCCTTGCTGTGTACTGCGTCCATCGCGAGCGCGGATGCACGCATAGCTGCGAGCGATCGCTGCTGCCGGCGCATGTGCGCAAGGGTTGTGGATATGCGTACGTCGGCGAGTACGACGATGCCGAGGAGCCCGAGCACGCGCGCGAGGCGCGTCCGCGGCAAAGAGGCTGCATGTGCGGCGCGACAACTATCCTGCGCAAGGACTGGGCCGCGCACAAGGGAAGCGCCGCGTGCACTGTGCGCTGGCACGCCTGCGCCCTCTGCGGCGAGCACAAGCGCCTCGGCGCCGAGATGGACGCGCACATCCTGCACGCGTGTCCGCAGGCGCGCATCGCGTGCCGCTTCTGCCGTACGGCAACGTGCGTGCCGCGCGCGCAAATGCGCAGCCACATCCTGCACTCGTGCCCCGATGTGCGCGTCGCGTGCAAGCTCAGCAGGTTCGGCTGCATGTGGCAAGGCAAGCGTCGCAATTGCAGCGACGGCATCCTCCTCGAGGAAGAGGGGCCACATTGGACGGAACCGGCTGTCGATAGCAGCAGTGGACAGGAGGATCCAGACGTTCTCGTCGAATTTGTTGCGATCCTAGCAGGTGGGGACGATCACGAACAATCACAACAGCACATCTGTCCTCTGTTACCCCTAGAGCCGTTCCTCCACGTGTATGCGCATGATATCGACACGCTGACGCACGAGAACAGCGCGCTGCGTGCATCGGTCGACCGCATGCAGTGCAGCATGAAGGAGATGCTCAGCGCGCTTGATCGGTGCATGGACGGTCTCGGCCCCTTCTTGCCGGAGGAGGACGAGGGTGCGAATGCGGTGCGCTACGATTATCCAGGCGCAGACTATGCGGCTTTGCTGAACGTGCGTGCACCGTTGTCGCCCCACATGCCAAGGCCGACGCCTAGCGGCGCTTTGCCTAGCCCCCCCTCCGACGGGGGCGATGTCTCGCGGAACAGCGCCCGCTCGCATGTTACAGCAGGCCGCACATCACGTTCATTGTCATCTGCTGCTTCTTCCTCTGCCGCTTCGACTGCAAAGCCTGTGCGCTCCCAGTCGTTCCCGTCGGCAAGCACGATGGCAAGCCTGAGAGCTACTCGTCTCGCCACTGCCGATGGCTGGCCGCAGGCAGCACGCAATAGTCAAGGTGCGCACAGGCCTCGCTCAGCGACGCCACACACGCACACATCACCAACAATACTCTCACCAGCACCTGCTTCAGCACCGGCCGAAGCATCTCACACCTTCCGGGGTCCCGTCCACTATGCCCATGCAAGTGCGACCAGGAACACGAACCTGACGACCGAATTCGCATCAATGCGCTCGGCGTTGGACGATATTGCGCTGCGGCTGCGGACCGTCGAATCGCGCACGGATGAAAGCCAGATGACCGCCATCAGCGCCGGCTTTGACGCCGGGCGCGTCAGAGAGGAGATGCAGAGTCTCCGACACGTCGTTGGTGCTATTCGGATGCAAATGCACCAAGTGAGTCTCTTCGAATGCAGCTTCGAACGGGGCTGATCTCTGCGTGAAGATACTCAAATGCGGCAATTCTATTCTCACAGTTGCTTATGCAGATGCAAAGACCACGTGGACCATCTACTACCGTTTGTACATCGTCGTCTGCGGCGATTGCCGAGCAAGAGCAGCAACAACAGCCAGCGATAGCAACACAGGCACAAACCGACCATGGTACCATCGGAACCATTGCCGGCATGAGCTTTGGGCCTGGAATGGGAATGGGAATCGGATCAGTACCGCTATCCATGTCGATTCCTCAACCCCACGCACCGCCTTTCATGCGCCGCTGGACCATCTTCGAAGGGACCAAATTGTAGCACATCACTCTGCGAAATTCAAATTGGTGATTCTGCTTGCACTTCCTTGCTGTAATGCGCGACGCAACGAGCAACCATACAAAGGCAAGCAAGATTGCGAGCATGTCGGGTGATGGGCGGTCGAGGTGCATGTCTTCGGAACGTGACCAACAGGGAGATCCATGCAGCTCGATGTGTTCGACAAATCGTGCAGTCAGGCATACAAGGACCGATCGACGGTGGACGTGCGTAATCGTGTACTTGCGCAACCTTCCAGTGGTGAGTGTCTTTCACTTTAGTCAACTAGGGTAGGTTCGATTTATTTGCTCAGGTCCCGATCTTCTTTTCCGTGCCCCGGAAGCCCCCAGAGCTGTGCTCCGAAGCCAGTGGGAGCAAATCCAATAGGTTTTCCATTTTATTAACAAAGTATTACTAAATCAATCCAGCAATTTTGACATTGTGTGACTTTTGAGAGCGTAACTTTTGTCATTATCCACATCCGGGCCAACTTGAAAGGATGCAAATCTGGAAATGGCAATTGCACAAGCTCGCAGGGCCGTGACGCTTGATATGCTTCGTTTGAAAACTTGGGTGAATTTCATTTAGGCTGTACGATTTCTCCAAAGTGCAAGTAAGGCTATCCCATCTATGAACCGGATTCGCTTGCTGTGTCTATGCTGGAAAGCATTGTTAGCCCTCACTTGACGCTCATCGCTGCAATTCAGAGCCACGAAGTTCATCAACGAAATATTGATGATAATGAAGGCTTTGTGTAGTGAAGAATGCGCAGAGAGGAGAGCGTGTGCGAGTTTTGAAAGAACGGCCCCCCGTCAAAGTCAATCGTGGACCTTATTTTTGAGATTCGCGCTGTTCTTAGTTTGCTCGGAGCTCCTCGCAGTGAGGCTTTCCATGGAGGTCGAGCCCGATTCCGCGGACAGCAACGCCACCGAAGGAATCTGGTTAAGAGCGCATCCTCGCACCCACTCATGGAGGACGTCAAATGGGCATTCAATTACAGCGCGTATGAACATGTACATCTATGCGAAGCGCAGCTGCTGCCCCGTATAGGCTGGCTACAAAGACAAGCCGCTTAACCACTCCTCTGTATATGGCGCCTCGCGAAGCGGTCGTACTGCATCTACGTTTCAGAGACTCCAGCGGCCTTGCTCGATTTTCCGAGAGCAGGAAAGCGCTTCCAAGCGCTACGTTCATAACATGGTCTCAAGATGCAACCGTTTATAAGAAAACGTCCATTGCATATGCAACAAGAACAAAAGCACCAATGTCTTTCTTGCCAGGGCACTTGCTACCTTGCCCAAAATACCAAACTGAACACACTGTTAGGGTTGACCACATTCTAGACAACCGTGGGCATGTCCTGCGAGCTTGACGCGCCAAATTTAACATTTCTCTATGTCTCTCCCGGGCATCTCGCCGTCTGCAATGGTACTTCGCTGACTTCGCGGCTGACGTCACGGTCGCGAGGGCATTGTGGGACTTTTAGGACTGGCCCGTCATGGGCACAACCGAACAAAAACCGAGGAGAAATGAAGAGGATCCGCACGGCGAAAAAAAAATCTCGCCACAGAGAGTCGAACTCTGGACCTCAAGATTCACCACCTTACGGTTGGCCTGCGATTTCCATTACAGTCTTACACTCTACCAACTGAGTTATAGCGAGGATATATGTGTTGGATTACTCTGTGCCTCTTGAATAGATCAAAGGAGCATGAAACTAAGTCTTTTGAGACTGGAGCGATTTTTGTGACTTCGAAGTGTCTGTTTATCTCTATCTCGATCCCTCAATCGATGAACATCATTCTAAGCCAAAGTTCGCGCGAATCGCCCAAGATTTGCGACTCCTCAGTCGACTTCTCAACGAAGGACTCCGTGCGGTGTACACTTGCAGCGCACTCATTGTGCGACATCGTTCGTCCCACACTCACTTTACTAGGGGACGACAGGGAAGCAGTTGGAGCCTGCGTTCAGTGTCTCGGCCGCCCCCGCCCCCTTCCCTTTTTGGTCGACAGCATGTCATACCACGCAAGTTCAAGCTTGCCCCCTTCCGCGTCAAATGCAAAGAGTCCATCCAATGATGGGCCTCTGCACCCTCTTCCCCCGCCACCAAATTCTTATCACGCGTACACAACGATGGCATCCGATGCCGGGGCGAAGCACCCTCATCACACCACCCCTTCCTCCCGTCACAGCAGCAGCGTGCCCATGCAGGGGGCCGAACAGAGCGCATGGCAGTCCCAAACTCAATTCCGACAATCTTCTCCGTCGCACGACATATATGGGCAGCGCCAAGACAACAGTCGCCAAGCTGATTCTCACCAGTCCATTCCCGCACCCGGGGCATCCAAGTTGGCGCAAGGGAAAGGCAAAAGTAAAGTTAGTCAGGGTAATGTCACAGCTCCCTCGATGTCGGCACCAGAACCAAAGAAGCGAAAGAAGGGACCTGCAACAGAGGTGGTAACGTCGAGAGCAGGAACGCCAGAGACATCCGCGCTCACAGTAGGCTCAAAATTCAGTTCGACTTGCTCCATCGCCATTGCCCCTGCCGCTACGCCCGAGCTAGGCCAAAGTAGTCTCGACACTCCTTCGGGGTCTGGCACTGCCTCCAACAGCAACAACATGGCCAAGAAACGAACGACATCATGCGAGAACTGCAGGCGTAGAAAGCTGAAATGCGATCGTCGCGCGCCGTGCGGCGCCTGCATAGATCGCAACGAGTGCAGTTTGTGCACGTGGGAAGAGGGTGTGCAACCCATCATGAGTGGGAGACATACGGTCGTGCCTGGCCCGCTGATCGATCGGATGGACCGGTTGGAGGCGATCATGTTGTCATTGGCGACTAAGATGGGTGCTCAGGTGAACTTACCTCCAATTGCGTCAAGCAGTGGACAGGACGAGGCAGCGCTGGACAGTCCAGCAAACCAGAGCGCAGATGATGGCGGTGTTGCTGCTGCACTTGCTGGACTCAAGTACGCAATGTCGTCTGGTCCCGGAGGAACAGCAGCGGCTGCGGCAGCAGCAGGAGCAGGAGCAGGACCAGGACCAGGATCAGCAGAGCACCAGCATCGTCGAATGATACCTTCCTCGAATAAAGCAGAAGAGGCATCTATCTGGAGCGCGACTCAAGAACAAAGTGTAAGCGGCTGGGCACAGCCCGGGACATTTACATTCGCGTGGCACAAGCCTGAGGATGCAGCAAGGGAAGGTGTGCTATGGAAGATCCTTGACCTGCTGCCAGATACACAGACCGTTAGGAAATTGTGTGAAGTCTATGTAAGTTGCCGTGGTCCTCCAGCACATTCTGTCCATTTTCCCCATTGCGACTATTCTGACGAGCCATGGTCACGCTCTTACCTGCCTAGTTTCGCGATGCTTCATTCTTACACTATTGTGTCGATCCGGACATTTTTTGGAATCGACTGCGGGAGCATGAGGAGATGCGCTTGATGTGGAAGGGTCGATCAAAAATGCATTGGGGTGCGCAATTACGGTCTGAGCTCACGTTCGTCGCGCTCATCCTTGCGATGGCTTCATGGTGAACGTCGCAGTGTTGCGATCCCAAGCGATGGCAATGGCAAACTGACAGTCCTCTTTCCCTCTTAGCGCTCTCCTCTACACTGACGACCAAGAGCAATTATCGGCCTTGAATGCAAAATTTGAGTCGCCCATCGCAACATTTATCGATGCTGCGATGCGCGCGCTTGATGCCGTCGAAAGCGTGCAATATCCCAGCGCTGACTCAGTCCGTAGCGAGATCCTGATTGGTCACGTCGTTTCAGCCGCGCGCGGGTCCAACCTCGGACTTCTCGCGTCGGTCATGACGATCCAGAACGGAATCTGCGCTAACTTGGACCTCGAGCCTCCTGCGCACATATCGCGCACCGAAATGCTGGATCGTATGCGTGTCTGGGTCAACCTGTGCATGAGTGATTGGTTCGGCAGCACGTCTTCGCGCCGCATGTGCATGATCCCAGACGGGTCGGAGAACAAGGGCGGTTCGCCCACTCCGAGCTTCCTCTATAGCAACTCGGCATGGGACATCGCTTCGATTGACGGGCCATGGCCTGTCGAGCTCAAGATCCGATTCGAGATGGGACGCATCTTACGCAAGGCCTCCGAACGACAACAGATGGACGACGAGAGCGGCTTCCAGCTGACCATGGGTCTTCAAAAACGCTTCGAGAGCCTCACACGCACCATCCCTGCCGAACTCAGAGTCGACGTGCTTGCAGATCCTGACCAGATTTGTAAGGAGCCTTTCGATGGCAAGAGAATGTTCTGGCGTCAGTGCATGATGGCGTGCTTAAGCGAGATCGTCATCATGTCTTTGCACAGGTGAGCACTTGTCCTCCTTTCTCTTTGCTTCCACGACGCCGTTAGACTTGCCACCGATGCCATGTCGCAGACAGGAATAACGCTCCTTCCGTTTTCGCAATTACAGAAGGTACTACGTTCAAGGATGGCTGGATCCCCGATATCGGATCTCGCGCGATTTATGCTTCAAATCCGCACATGCATTCGTTCTGCTATTCCTCGAGATTAGCGCTGTCTCATTACCCATCGAGGAGCTCATGTCGCGACCAAAGCATGAAGCTCCACAGATCCTCAAAAGCAAGAGGGTAAGTATGCCGACCCTTGTAGGTGACGGGGCGTTCATACCTTTGGAACGAGGGCTGAAGGGACCATGCGCCCTTGGTTTCATACAGGGGTTCATTGCGAGAGGGTCCTTTCTAGCTCGACTGGCTACCTCAGGTGCGCTTCTCTTACAGCACCACGTCTTCATGAGTAAGCCTTGCAGGTACGAAGTCATCATTTCACGTGGTCTGAGCAGCGCTTTTTTGTTTTGTTTTAGTGGACGCGCATCCGGACCAAGCTTCGGTCCAGGACCTCAACCAGCGGAACACCTTCGTTGCGAAATTACGAAAGCTGAAGCAGATCCTCCTCCTGCTAGGACCCGATCTCTCCATTCCACCTTCAGAAATCTCCGCACTGCAACCCTTCACAGAATGGGATGCTGGCAGCAGCTCAATACGTACCAATTCCGTAAGCGCCGCAGATACGCCCTCTTGCCCCAGCTTTGACCCCGTTGGACCAGTCGGATCGAACGATAACCTCAACCGTGCTGGCAATGCCGGCCATATTTCGCCTGTAGGGAGGAAGAGATCGGCGATGGCTGCTTTCGGAAGTGCATCTTATTCGAACGCAGTACCCATGCCGCGACAGCACGCAGCGAATCCGGACCTTACAAATCAGCTAAAACATGACGCTGCGCTCGTTAACTCCCAACCTTGGTTCCAGGCACTCGAAGCTTTCGTATTTGCATATGGACCGTGGCCGGTCATCGATGCGCAACAGCAAGGACAGCAGCAGCAGCCCCCTACGTTGACTCTGGGCGGCGATGGAGACGTAAGAGATCTCAACACGCTGGCTGCTACCAATCCGTATGCGGGAAGCGAATTTGGTGGGCTCCCGCCTTTTGCACCGCCGCCATCGCTTCATGCTCACACTAACGGTACCAATAGCAGCAATGCTTACTGCGACGCAAGCGTAGCGTCTTCGCCCTGGACGTAGCAACCACCCTACACGTAGCATGCAGCGAAGAGTGATGGACCAAGTGCGGGCACGCGTAATACATCGTCGTCAGCGCCGCCAGCTTTTGCTTCGACGAACACCATTGAGGAAGTGAATGCTGCCTTCCCTCAGGCACAGCCGACCGGTAATGTGACATTGCCTTCGCGTGTGAAGGACAAAATATGGTTGCCGATGGTTCGTTGCGTGAAGCCAACCTCGCAATAGACAAAGTAATCTGCCGTTCAAATCACCACCGAGAGAGATGTGCAGGTTAGAGGGTTTGACTTCTGGATCCTGGCTAGACTTTTGCCCCCAGCGGGCTTCGTTGATACTCACAAATCCATTTTCGTCGGAAGATCTCGACCTCTTTCGCTTGCTCCTCCGGCGCGAGACCTCGAATGTCGTCATGGTCCATGAGGAGCGCGGGCTTGATAAAGTCTTCAAAGTTCTTCTCGAAACGAATCCTCCACTCCCGGAGCGTTCGGCTGTAGTGTGGGCCGATGGCATGCGCCGTGTCAAGGACGAGGCGGCCGTCAGTGCCCTTCTCGACCGCGTCGATGATCGCAGTTACGCTGGGCAGGACACCACCGGGGAAGATCCATTTGCGGATAAAATCGGTCTGCTGGATGTACTTCTTGTAGCGCACCTCGGGGATGGTGATGCACTGGATACTAACGACGCCGTTGTTCGGCTTCAGCACGCGATCGAGGCATGCGAAGTACGTGGAGAGGAACTCGATGCCGACTGCTTCAAGCATCTCGATGCTGACGATCCGGTCGAAGCGACCGGTCCAGGAAGCGGGCATGTCGCGGTAGTCCATCAGGTGGACCTTGATCTTGCTGCTCAAACCCGCGGCGGCGATACGCTGCTCGGCCAGTGCCTTCTGTTCGATGCTCAACGTCAGGGTATCCACCATGCAGCCCGTCAAACGCACAGCCTCCAAGCTGAAGCTCCCCCAGCCCGTGCCAATCTCAAGGACGTGGTCACCACGGCGGATGTTGGCACGCTCGATGTGCAGACGCAACTTGCGCAGCTGCCCGTCCTCGAGCTCATCCGCGGCCAGCAGCTCGTCCTCTGCCGGCGACGAGGCGGAGTCCGGGTGGTCGATTCTCGGCCCGCGATGGTGGAGCCGCCTGACTGCACCGGTCTCTGCACTGCGCTGGGAATGCCCGTTGATGAACGTCTCGACTGATGCGTTGCTGTCCTCCATGACGCTTCTGTACAGCGGACCGGTGATGTCAGCATCCAGCGTGGGGAACACGGCGGACGAATATGTCATGTCGGCGCTGAGGAAGGCCGCGTACATCGCATTGCTGATGTCATAGTGCGCGCCGATGTTCTTGAGCGAGCCGCTACGCGTGTTGGCGTACCGCTTGTTCAGCTGCCCCTGGACCCACGACATCACGGAAGAGACGAGACCGACAGAGAGTTCTGATATCGCCACGCGGTTTTGGATGAAGAGCTGTTGTCAGATGAGTGTCAGATCTCGTCAGCTTGGGCAAGCATTGCCTTTTCCTTTCCTCTCAAGCATGTTCCAGATGCGAACGAGTCACTCACCTCAAAGCAAGCACCGAGATCTGGCGTCTCCATCTCTCCAAGCATGTAACTCTCAGCAAAGCCGAGGTCGGCACCGACAAACATGCGGACCCAAAAGGCATCATCCTTGACGATCAGGACTGCTTGCGGCGCATTCGTCGCCCTGATTGTGTCCGTCTTTTTGTATGCTGCAGAAGTAGAAGCAGGAGCAGTTGTGCCAACTCCCTTTGAAGATGACAGGATCGTGGTTGGACTTGGCCCTTCAACGCCCGGAGTGGCACCCGCCGGAATAGGCGAAATTCGAGCGCCAGCGCTGGCAGTGGCAGAGTTAGCGATGGCCTCGCGGTTGTACTCCTTGCTCCGGATGAGCGCCGGGTCTCCGAACTTCCAGACACCGGAATCGGTCCTGATCTCGAGCTGCCCGACTTGCAGACGCTTCAGCAGGCCGGTAACGCTTGTTCGTGAGAGAGAGACAAGTAGTGTCCACACGTTCGAGGTGAGAGAGCTATATACGCTGTCCGTTACGGAGATCGCGTAGGACGCCATTTTTTCTTTTCTCTGCTTTGCCTTGCTTGAGTTCCAGGGGTTGGTAGGACGACGACGGAAGCGCGGGGGGAGTCTGTGTCTATATGCAATGCCAAGCAGTGAATCTTGCTGTAGCAAATGAGATGGGGTGCTCTCCACGTAAAAGAAAGGCGAGCGAGTCTTCTGACTGTCAAGCGCCAACGCTCCACGGTTCAGAAGGCGGCTGAGGACCCTGAGGGGTTACGACGGGGAGTAACAGAGCGCGATCCGGGAAGTATTCGCAAAGTCGTCTATCGACGCTGCTCTTGGCTCTATGTTTGCGACGCGGGGCGTTGGCAACCGGGGGCTGTAGATATTTCTATGCTCGGATGGAAGCAGCAGGTTGGACAAGCAGGGTGGAGAATTGAATAGATGGTGCCGATGAGGTCACGAAGGGGAAGATGTGTAGCCTGGTATATGTGATACGATGTGACGCCCTTGTCCTATATATAAACGGTGCATACCACACATGGTAGGGATTAGATTAAAATTCTAGTGCACTAACCGTGGTATCACAGCCACAGTCACAGTGCTCGAGTGGGAATGACTGCTGTAGTGCCGCTACGGTGCAAATGTCACAACCCGGCTGGGCGCCGCAATATGGATCAGCTGAACAAGATTAGGTTGATCGACGATAAACCCCCAATGAAATTTCCCGGCTACAACCGATCGACGCCCAATCAGACAGACATTTGCAAGAAGCGGAGTGCGAAGTGCGAGATCCGCAATCTTTACTGTATTCTCCAACCAACTGCCTTACATACCCTTCAAAGGTGTCCAGCTATTCTCTGCTGCTTGTGGACGGGGCTGAGCTACTGCGCTGCGGTGCCTGCCCCATCCGCTGGCCACCAACTTATGGGTTGTTCCGTGATCAGCGATGACGACCGCGCCGACTATAAGAGGGGACGCCAAATCTGGTCCGTCCCAAATCCAAAGTGATATTGAACCACGGCAGCCTTCATGCAATCAGCTGTGGAAACCTGAGTGTACTGTAAAGCTTAGTCCTTGGACGAATCTACTCGGCTCAGAGCCAACTCATGTAGGAGATGCGTGACGAGAGATGTGCCGGCTCGTCTTTATAGAAGTTACCAGCCGCGAGCGAGCTCGCTAGGATGCCAGCGGGAGAATATCAATCAATTAAACTATGTATGGTGTGTTCCCATGTGAAGGGAGAAACGAGTGCATGATTATCTTTGCTGGATATCCAAGTGGATGCGTTCCAAAGACCAGGGCGGGTGTGTCGAGAGCGATTAGAATAGAGAGAAAACAATGTATAGGTGGGAAACATCAAGAGTCGCTCGGCAAAAGCAGCCACCCCCTCCGCATCATGCATTACACCCACCAGGCCCTCGACCTCCGGTGTAGAGCGATGCAGTCAGAAGCCAGCTGGCGCGCATTAGAGTTGGAAATATGAGACATGAACAATTAAGATTAAGTGATATGATCGAACCGAGGACGATCGGGAATTTCGAAGGGGTATTTCGGAAATTGGTGATTTCCCCAAGTGCGCGAGATGAGACGGAATATGCGTGTTTTTGTAAGTTCATAGCTAGCGCTCAGAAGCTCAGAGGTTTGTTACAGATGTCCGAACCCCAAGGCTGCGCCAGTGTTCCTCGGGATCCAGCCGTACTGCAGTCCGACTTTGAGGCTCCAGTTAAGGGCACCTGTCAATAACGAAACAGCTCTCAGTCAAAGGCCGCAGAAGCCGCTGACAAGATAACAGGAAAGACGCGCCGATGTTCTTCCAGGCATACTTGACCCAGTCAGAAGCGTTGGACTCTGTTGCATCTCGCAGGTGAAAGGTAGGAGAAGAGTGAGTGCGGTTTAGTAGGAGTTGAACGGATCGGTGAATAGTAGGAAAAAGGCAAACGCGTCATTTATCTGCACGTGGGTTGCGCAGTTCCTCGAGAGGAAGACCATGTATTAGTGTCTGTTCCAGGGACGTCGATGCTCAACGATTTAGTCCAGCTCAGCGCCCCGGGCCAGCATCAAAAGACTCTCAAAGTAGGATGAATGGGTCCAGCCGGAAAGTTGACAGAAGATTTGCTGACAGGGAAGTTGCGGCCCTTGCTGTTGTTACCCTTTCGGACCGTTTGGAGCCATCGTATCCATGACGAATGGGTACGCCTGGTTCGATTTCGAGATCTCGTCAAAGCGCGGACCTGCTTGAGAATAGCCTTTTCCTAGCAAGCACAAAGTGACAGAGTGCAACGCGCAAAAGGGGCCGAGGAAATCCGCGTATGAATCAAAAGGACAAAAGAACCCGGTGCCTCTTTGTGCTTCTTCATGCGTCATGGCTTCATCGGTCCTTTCGGTTGTAACGAGTTTTGCGCTGTACCCTCGTGCACCCCTCGCGATCACATGTTTCACCGTGTTTCCGCTGGTGAAATCGGTGAAACTCGCAGATGTGTGTACTGTGCGATGCATGCGCAACCTTTCGTTTTGAACAAATCGAACACGAGGGTACGAGTCCTAGTAGTGTTGAATTACATCATACCATTTCGACGCTGGTCGAACCCACGGATCTCTCCTTGCGACTTGTGGCCATATCGGAAGCAGGCAAGCTCATGTGCACTATGAAAGCACCACAATCTTTGGATGGTACATATGATGTGTGATCAACGCTCAACGCTTGAGGGATTCCATGTCAGTAACCAATAGTAAACGATAACCCACTCACTCAGAGCCTTTCAACATAGGGCCTTGCTCTTCAACAAGGAAAGTGATATATATCAACATTTAATTACATATTCACCTACAGTCATTATCGCGTATCGATCATTCAGCGCTTATAGCGATGCATGATGAAATATGGCATCTTACACAGCAAATCTGTGTGTGTATTATCATACAATATAGATGTCATGGACGGCGCTGAACTTGCATGGACTCACACGCTCTTTTAGCCCGTCTGTTCGGGTCGTCTCTCAGCGTCTTGCGACCTCACACTCCAAGTCTGAGAAAAGCGAACGAGAAATTTGCTGAAGAGTCGCAACATTGTTGCAGGCTTGCAGCAGGTTACGAGTAGCCTATGGCAGTTCGCCAGAGCTCGGCCTGTGTTGTGTTTTAACCATTCTAAATATGGAGAAGCAAGCATTATTTGCGAGCAGCGTGAAGCTTTGCTCCTGAATATGCACCCACCTGTTCCCAGTGCTAGTACTCGCTGTGTGGTCTACAAGCGCCAACGCAGCCCTGAAGCCAATTCCAGCACAGACGCCTAACTTTGTTGAACCTGCTTGAGCTTGATTGTGAGAAGCCCTGTGTCAGGAACGCATGAATTGTGGACGCTTGACAAGGTGACGAGTATTCGCTCATCGCTCATCAACTTTTCCCTAGCTATCCTTGGCTGTTTTTAACCTTAAGGATTTATAGGTACCTTTTGTGAATGCAACGTTCTAAGCTTCCAGCTCTCCAGCATGCTGCGGTACATACTTTTTGGCGTTGATTCAAAAGGCGCTAAAGACTGGTGGCAACGGCGCTAAGCATGACATGGAAGGCTAAAAAAATCGTGCGCTCCATATGTCAATTCCAAGGGTTTTGCGGGGTGCTTACGATGGGTAAGCGTCTGCCTGCGCTTGCGACTCGACAGTTAGCAAGGCCGCTTGAGCGATTCGCAAGTCGTGAGTCGGACCTGCAGTGGCCAAAATGCAAACGAAGTTCATACCCACACGCGTCAGGCGTTACGCTCGGCCACGCTGCAACGCAAGAAGCTCCACAGGCGATATCCCGCAACACTGTATGGCAGCCATTCTTGCTATTTTGTGTGGTGGTGGGTGATTACTTGACAAGGCTGTTTATCGAAGCGGCCTTAGCTGACCATGTATTGACTATTTCCTGGTGAAGACAAAAGAGTGGCGATTCCCTTGTCGAGGAGGAGTTGCTATGTTGCAAAGATTATTGAAATAAACGGAGCTTCGGGGAAACCCAGAGGCTATGAGCGCTCATGCGCCCCGCGCCCCTATCTACTCATCTCCTCTGGTCAGTAGACCCAGGACTCCGCACAGACTATCAGAAGACTTTCTTGTTGGTATTTTTCGGGTACTGGCCCTGGGATATTGCGTCCCTCCCGTGCAGCTGTGCGGTTGCAGGAACCGGCTGCCTGATAGTTGTAATACAATGGCTCCCCCTCGTCTCTCTTAAACATTCGCACAATGGCGTCATGGCAACCGGCTGCCAGTCCTAAAGTCTGGACTAAGCGGGCGCTTTGCGTTTTTCAGACCTTGCACGGGTTCCCTTATTCCATTGGAAACTTGGCGTATATTTGTAATGTTGTATCTCGTACTGTCTTCATCATCAGACAGGAACCGGACAGATGTTCGATCGATATGCTGTTCGAACCTTGCGGAAAATGCGGAATTTTAAATGATCCAGGGCCCCATCAGCACTATGAATCTGTATGTCCGTACTCTTTATGTATGTGGGGCCCCAAGCTGCGAACTATGTAGGTGTATTGTATATCTACGTTTGTAATGTGCCGTTGTTGCGCGTACCCACAGCACTCGCATGTGTGTCTGCTGTCTACATATCTTCATCGTAGACAGCATGTTACACTTGTGTAGCACCATATGGCATATACAATCAGGCTCTAGCGCTCAACATGTGGGCAACTAATTCTGTGGCGTCTGCCACTGTGGCCTGTGCTGCAGAGTTGGGCTGGCTCCTCAGTGCCAAGCGCACTCCAGCTCCAGCAAATGGACCGTTCGACTTCTTCGACCGTAGCGGACTACGAACTCGATTTATCGACTTTCTCACTGCTTAGCCGACTTGCCTTGCCGGCATGTCGAGCTCGCGTGATGGGTACATTCGTGTGTGGGTGCTTGATCCAGCGAGAGAAAGGGTGGGTGCACTGGTTGCCGCCCCCCCACGCTCCACTACCCATGACCAGGTAGTAGCTTGCTATTTATGATGCAGCGATTGCCATCTTCTTCTCCTTATTGATATTTAGAACATGCAGGCTCTCCGCGAACGCGAGATCGGCGCACACGACATCCATTCTCCACTTGCCCCTTCGAACCAGCCCAATTCGCCTTCCCGGCTTTCGGCTACTCCTGACCGCTCCACTCAGACCTCCTCCATTGATTCACATAACGATTAACGACCCAACTCAATCATGAAGCTCGAAGCCGTCGCAGCGGCCACGTTGCTGGCCGCCTGGGTGCCGGCGACGCTCGCGTTACCCAGCACACGCACCCTGCGCGGTGTCAGCCCTTACAAGGCGCTCTATTATCCCGAGACGCTGGACAGGAGTGAACTCCAAAACCTGCCTCCTAACAGGGGCGGTGTCTCCGTGGCGATCGAGACGCACAGGCTCGAGTACCAGCATCCTCGTTGGGATCCCTACAATGACAAGCAGCGCCCAGAGTGGGCAGACAAGGTCGTTAAGAAGCTGAACAAGGCCTCCGACCGCCTGGAGAAGCTCTCTGGGTCCATCGGTATCGACTTTGCTGCCGTCTCCGCTGTCGCTCACTGGCTCTCTTCCAAGAGCGAACACGCTCGCTACCCGGGCTACCCGAAGGAGACCTTCAACCTCAACCACATCTTCGACCAAAATGATACAGCCACGATTCAGGGCAGGTTGCCTGGCGGCAGCGGCTTCCCCTATGGCGACCCCAACTCGCCTGTCCGTGGCGTCAACATTGGCAACTGGTAAGCATTCCCGCTTGAGGTGTCAACCGCGTAGTTTCCTGGAATACAAAATTCACAATGGCCCTGGGCGTGCAACTCTTGATCATCAGGCTACTATTCGAGCTCTGGATGGATCCTGGGCTGAACAGCTGGCTCAATGACCACTCACAAAACGCGCCATACAACGGTGCCATTATTGACGAGTGGACCGCCGGTCTCTACACCGACGCAAGCTTCCTTACCAAGACTATGAATGACCACTTCAACAGCTGGATGACCGAGAATGACTGGAAGAACATCGCGGCCGCTGGCTTGAACCACGTCCGTATTCCCATCCCTTACTTTGCCTTCCCCGACCTGATCGGGTCTGCGCCCTACGTCGCCGCCAACCGCTTCGATGCGCTCAAGGAGGGTGTCTTACTCGCTGGCAAGTATGGCCTCAAGGTCTGGATCGACCTGCACGGCGTTCCGGGTTCTCAGAACGGCTTCGACAACAGCGGCCACGCTGGCAGCATCAACTGGCCGTACAATCCAAGCTACTACACCGCAACTCAACAGGCACTCAACTGTTCGTCTGACCCTTGATGTCCCCCCTGAACATGTGCTTACACAAGCCACTTCATGTCGTACAGATTTGATCAGCGAATTCTCCAAGGACCAGTACAAAGGCATCGTCACCGGTATCGAAGCCGTGAACGAGCCTCAAGCCCAGAACAACGGGGACGTCAAGAGCCTTCTCAACACATACTATCCCTGGGCTCACGAAGCAATTGCCCACCCTAACAGGGACAAGTCCGTGTCGAGCAACTTGACGATGGTCGCACACGATGGCTTCCTTGGCCTCGGCTACTGGGCTAACTTCTGGACTGGGAGCAACCGCGATCGCGTACTCTTGGACAAGCATCCGTGTGAGTGTTGTTATCGACTGCTCCATAAGGTACCTTGAGTAGCCAGCTGACCATTGAGCCTCCTTATGTTTCAACGCACAGACTTTGTCTACTCTGACCAGCAGAAGCAGGAGAAGGTAAGCGACTTGCGATCCGGTGGAACCATCCTTGCACTCCACTGATATGCGCTCGTTGCATCTATCGTAATCGGAACAGGACACCGCTCGTCTTCGTGAGGTCTGTGCGCTCTCCGACGAAATCTGGAACTCCAACCAGCTCTACCCTTCGATCATGGGCGAGTGGTCTACTAGCGGCCCGAATGGCGACAAGAGTGACGACCGCGACTTCCCTGTCAACCAGTCTCCTGTCCAATTCCCTTCTGGTCCTAACTACCCATACTCGTACGTAAACAGCTGGACGAGCGTAAAACGTTTAAACGCACGCATAGTGACACGTCCTTCCACTTTCACCTGTAGTCAACAGTACATGGTCTTCCTCTCGAGGAACTGGGCGACGCAAGTCCAGACTTATGGTAAGTTTGTTTTGAGTGGACGAGTGTCCACGGCACCATCTCACGCGTCAACCACCCTCACGATTCCGTCTTGGTCTTGCAGAGTACAACGCCGCAGGCTGGGTGTACTGGGCTTGGAAGGTGCGCTCCCGTGTCTTTTCCTTCTCCCAGCCTACTCTGGTACTGGTCGTTCGCTGACCTGATGAAAGCTTCCACACGCTGCAGAACGCCGGAGCTCCTGACTGGAGTTATCAGACAGGTCTGAAGTACGGTTGGATTCCTCAGGATGCCAGCACGCAGCCTTGGGGTGACGACATTTGCAACAATCTTTAAGTGCATATACCAAATTCAGTAACCTTTGAAGCTGTACGCAAAGCAGTCGGAACGCCAGCATATGTATCTTGTCATCTCCTAACCCTAGGCCACGTCCGTCACCGGAGCTGTTCGGCAACTGTTTATCTTGTGGAACAGCACGCCTCTCCCCATTACTTGGGGCATACCTATCTAGCTATCCATGGGAATAGTCTCCGCAAGGACCTGTTGATGCCGTAAGACAGCCATTAAGCTTCATCTGCCTTGCTGGCTATTGCGTCTACATGTATGGGCTTCCACTCTGAAGCGAACGGATCACGGAATGCGCGCGAAGGTTGGTGATGAATGTGAATATTTTGTGGACCGTTACTAGTCTTGCGTCCTAAGAATACAACAGAAAGACATATAGAGAGTACAGAAGATCGAAGCGAAGAGAACCACCTATTACCAGCCAAAGCGAAGCTGATCACGGGTAAAGACGGGTGGTTTCCAATTCAGCTTTTCAGGTACGATGCGCCGGCGTTTCTTTTTTGACTGCTTTTCGTGTTGAGCAATCACTGCATCCGACAAGACGAGGTAGTGCTTGCCTTGATATTGTTTGAGCATATTGAGCGCCGAGCACCTAAGACGACAAATTGCGAAGCCGTTAGAGAATGATTCATAGACTGCTTGCGGGGACTTCAAAAGCTACTTACGTATGTAGAACGTCTGAATGCACGATGGCGGTCTTCTGGGCAATATCATCGATGCTGATGTCCTCGTTGGTCTTCAGCAGCAGCTCCACGATGACTTCCGCCCAGTACGCTCTGTAGCCAAGCAGACCGAGATCCGACAAGGGCTTCTCTGGGCTGCCAAGCTTATGCTCGCGCTTGGTCAGCTCATAGCTGAACTCAATCAGCAGCTTGCCGTAGCCGCAGCGCTGGTGCTGAGGTAACGTGAGGATACATGCGACGTTGTAGTTCTCCGCGGATTCCTTCTCTTTGGAAAAGTAGCCAATGATGTGGCAGCCAGTGTCGTTGCGCAGACACATGATGTAGTAGAGAAATGGATCCACATCGTAGTAGAGCGTCTTGTGATCCAGGAAGCACTTGCTGATCAGACACAGATTGCGACACCACGTCTTTTGACGCTTGCCATCAATTTCAAAGAAGCTGATGTCCTCGTGCCGGTAGATCTCGTTGCCGGGTGGATGCAGAAGCGTGCACTTCTTGCGATGTCGTGCGAGGACTAAAGATGAAGGAAAGTACGATAGGCACATCTCGCAGATGTATAGCGTATCGAGGTGGGCGTACTCGATCGGGTAAGGGCTAAAGTACCACGTCTCCATCTCGTGCTTGCCCATCTGGATCTTGTTGAGATTCTTGACGCGTGCAATCTCATGCACCGACTGCGTCATCGATCCGCTCGTCCGCAGCTTCTCGATCTCCTCCTCCTTCGAGAACATCTCTGCCGGATTCTTCTTAGTCTGGTCGATGGGCTCAAGGGAAGCATCACCCGCATTCGATGCAACTGCAGATAGGTCATCATGCCCCTCTTCTTGATCTTCTGTTCCAAGCATCTCCATCCCGACGACGGCTCCATCTTGCCCAGTGGCTCCACCTGCTCGCTGCAGGCTGAGACCTTCGACTTCGCCAGTAGGCTGCGGACATGGTGTGGTAGACGTGGCACTGCCGGCTGTAGCGTTGGTAGCTGCTACCGAGCCGGCTTGAGCAGCCGCCCTACCAGCTTGTGTTGCGGCCTTCTTGAGCAAGTTGTTAATACCGGCTGGTGTCATTGCAGGGCTGTTGCCTGCTGGGCTTCTGGATGCGTTGGCAACTTTCTTTTTGTTTTTCTCTTTGTCGGATGCCGCGAGCCCTGTTGGTTTGGGCCACTCAAGCTCCCGAGAAAGGATTAATCGCCTGCCCGCCACCCATTCATCCAATCTCTTGTTAAACTCGCAGTAATGAACATAGTACTCCAGCTTCTCCCTCGCCTCTGCCTCCTCCTGATCTTTGTCCTTGAGCGTCCCGACGCCACCGCTCTCAGCAACGACCATCTCCAGGCGCCGCGACAGCCTCGGCTTAGGCTTCTCCCGGACTGAGAGCACCTCCGCTTGGCGCTGCTCGATGTCTCCAGAGACCGGGTCCGGCCGCTCGACGTAAATATTGCATCCTGCGATGATGTCTCGAATGGAATACGTGCCAGGCGCAGAAATACGACGCTGATCATCCGGCGTTGGCGTGCCGGAACCGCTGCCGGTCTTCTGGGGCCTCGCAGCTACCATCTTGGGACGCCTTCGCGCTTGTCCTTCGAGACAAGCTTTGAAGGCACAATGGAGGGTGGATGCCTCACACGCGCTTTGGCAGGACAGAAAGCATTGTGATGAAGGATGATGCGGCCATCCATGATGTCAATTTCTGCTGGAAGCACAAGCATCAGTCCTGAGCTTATGGGAGGAGCTCAGCTGGAAAAGCTGTTGCATGGTCCATGGGAGTCCCGTAATGGCGTGCAACAGTGCACCAGACGCCACACCGCTCTCGTCCCCTGCCCTCCAAGGCTCCGATTACGTTGAAACGAAGCGCATTTGAGTTTGCTGACTTGATGGGCGCTTTCTTTGCCCTTGCATCCGAACACACCTACAACACTGCAGAACAGCCCATTTGAGAAGGATCCATCTGGCAGCGCAGGAAGAGGACACCATGACCGAGGAGGCAGACGAGATCAAATCCCTCCAGGCTGCGCGACAGCGAGCCGCCGCGAATGGCGTAAGCGACAAGCTCAGCTTTGGCAAAGCTGGTGGCTACGACCAAGGGATCTACGGCTCCGGTTCAAAGCGCAGTGACTATGTGCGCGAGCTGCCCATGGATGGGGATGGTGTTATCGAGGATGACGGAGAAGACGACGATGCAGGGGCCCGCCCGGCAAACCCTCTCGATGCCTTCACTGCGCCTCAGCATCTGCTCAACGAATTTGCGAATCACGAAGAAGACCCGCTCCAGGATCGCGCAGCCCAACGCATCATAGCTAACCGACAGAGTGACTATCACAATCGGCGCTTCAATCGCGATGCAGGACCTGAAAAGGCCGTCGATGCCTTCAGTGGTGAGGGTGCTGGGGCGGAAGGGGAAGGATCGTTCCAACAGGCGATGCGACAGGCCGAGTTGGAAAGGGAAGAGCAGCGAGTGCAAAGGATCATACAGGAGAGGCAGAAGGAGGGCCAAGATGGTGGACACCAAGAAGACGATGCAAAGCAGTCTGGTAAAGAAGAGGGGAGCATAACGCCAAAAATGAAGAGGAAGCGGAGATGGGATGTTGCTGGAGACAGCACCACCCCTGCCACTTCTTCCCACACGTCGCCTCCGCCAAGCTCGACGGACGATGGGCCTTCCGCTCAGCCCCCCAAGAAGCGCAGATCGAGATGGGATGAGACGCCAGCAGCTCCAGAGGGAGCACAGTCAGCAGAAGCAGCGACTGTAGGGGCGCCGGATGCTATGCCGGTGAAAGCGTCTCGCTGGGATCAGACCCCAGCGGCCTCCACCAATGGGTTCAGCGCAGTCGCATCAATATCGACAACCCCAATCGATGGTACCTTCTATTTTGACCCTCGCAACCGGTACATGAGCGACGAAGAGCTCGACTCGATCCTTCCCTCGGAAGGCTACAAGATTGTCGAGCCTCCGGCCGACTACCAACCCGTCCGATCAAACGCGCACAAGCTGATGGCAACGCCGTTGCAGACCGGAGGTTTCATGATGCAGGACGAGACCGCAGCTCGTGCAGCACTAGAAGATATGATTCCAGAATTACCCACAGACATCCCTGGCGTGGGCCAACTTGCATTTTTCAAGAAGGAAGACCAGACCTACTTCAAGAAAATCCTCAACCCCGAAGAAGACGAGACCGAGCTCAGTATTGACGAACTCAAGGAGCGCAAGATCATGAGGCTTCTTCTCAAAATCAAGAATGGCAGCCCGCCCATGCGAAAGTCAGCTCTCCGGCAAATCACAGACAAGGCACGAGAATTTGGTGCTGGCCCTCTTTTTGACAAGATCTTGCCGCTGTTGATGGAGCGGACACTCGAAGATCAGGAAAGGCACTTGCTGGTCAAGGTCATCGATCGCATCCTATACAAGCTTGATGATTTGGTTCGACCCTATGTCCATCGCATCCTCGTCGTTATTGAGCCGCTCCTGATCGACGAGGACTACTACGCGCGAGTCGAGGGCAGGGAGATCATCAGCAACCTCTCCAAAGCAGCTGGCCTTGCGCACATGATCAGCACGATGCGACCTGATATCGACCATGTAGACGAATACGTGCGGAACACCACCGCTAGAGCCTTCTCGGTTGTCGCATCCGCGCTCGGCATTCCCGCGCTTTTACCCTTCCTACGAGCTGTCTGTCGATCAAAAAAAAGCTGGCAAGCACGGCACACCGGTATTCGCATTGTTCAGCAGATCGCCATCATGATGGGCTGCGCAATTCTGCCGCATTTGAAGAATTTGGTTGATTGCGTCGAACCGGGCCTCGCAGACGAACAGCAGAAAGTCAAGACCATGACAGCACTTGCGCTAGCTGCGCTTGCCGAAGCTGCTGCACCGTACGGTATTGAAAGCTTTGAAAACGTCCTTAAGCCACTCTGGACGGGCATTCGACAGCATCGTGGCAAGGGCCTCGCAGCATTTCTCAAGGCAATCGGCTTCATCATTCCGCTCATGGACTCAGACAACACTCTCTTCTTCGTCAAAGAAGTTACCCCCACCTTAATCCGCGAATTCCAAAGCGCTGACGAGGAGATGAAGAAGATCGTCCTCAAGGTTGTCAAGCAGTGTGCCGCGACGGACGGCGTCACGGGCGCCTACCTCAAGGAGGACATGCTGCCGGAGTTCTTCAAGGCGTTCTGGGTGCGTCGCATGGCACTCGACCGTCGCAACTACAAGCAAGTCGTCGAGACGACCGTCGAGTTAGCGCAGAAGACGGGCGTGTCAGAGATTGTGGCCAGGATCGTGAACGAGCTCAAAGATGAGAGCGAGCCGTTCAGGAAGATGGTGATGGAGACGGTTCAAAAGGTCGTCGCATCTCTCGGCGCGGCCGACATTGACGAACGGCTCGAGGTACAGCTGATCGATGGCCTCATTTATGCATTCCAAGAGCAAACGATCGAAGACAATGTCATGCTCGAAGGCTTCGGCACGGTTGTCAATGCGCTCGGCATGCGCGTCAAACCGTACCTGACACAAATTGTCTCGACAATCCTTTGGCGGCTGGGGAACAAGAATGCCAAGACGCGTCAGCAGGCGGCTGATCTGACGACCAAGCTATCCGTCGTCATTAAACAGTGCGAGGAGGACCAGCTCCTCGCGCGCTTGGGCGTCGTTCTGTTTGAACAGCTCGGAGAAGAATTCCCTGAATCGCTTGCCAGCATCATCAGCGCCATCACTGCGATCGCCAACGTGGTCGGTATGACGCAGATGAATCCGCCCATCAAGGACTTGCTACCCCGCATGACGCCCATCTTGCGCAACAGACACGAGAAGGTGCAAGAGGCCTCGATCAACCTCATCGGGCGTATTGCGGATCGCGGTGCCGAATTCGTCAGTGCCAGAGAATGGATGCGCATCTGCTTTGAACTGCTCGACCTGCTCAAGGCGCACAAGAAAGCGATCCGACGTGCTGCAGTCAATAGTTTCGGTTACATTGCCAAGGCTATTGGCCCGCAGGATGTGCTGCAGGTTCTGTTGACTAACTTGCGCGTGCAGGAGAGGCAATCACGCGTCTGCTCCACTGTTGCCATTGCGAGTGAGTTGTTCTTTGTTGCTGAGTCTACAATACTCAAAGACATGCGCTAACGACCTTCCCTCCTTGTTGTGCACTGTAGTCGTCGCGGAGACCACGGGGCCGTTTACCACGATTCCACATCTGCTCAATGAATACCGCCAGCCAGAACTGAATGTCCGTACCGGTGTGCTGAAGGCGCTCTCGTTCGTTTTCGAGTACATCGGCGAGATGGGCAAGGACTACGTCTACGCCATCATCGGAGCGCTTGAAGACGCATTGACGGACCGTGACCACGTGCACCGGCAGACGTCAGCTTCGATCGTGAAGCATCTCGCGCTCGGCGTCGCAGGTCTCGGCCAGGAGGACTCGATGCAGCACTTGCTCAACCTGCTCTGGCCAAACATCTTTGAGACATCGCCGCACGTGATTGGCGCCGTGATGGAAGCGATCGAGGCGATGCGCGTCGCGCTGGGGCCAGGCTACTTGTTCAACTATACTCTGCAGGGCCTTTTCCACCCGGCGCGCAAGGTGCGAGAGGTGTACGCGCGCATCTACAACACCAACTACCTTGGTGCGCAGGACGCCCTCGTTCCGTTCTACCCTTCCATGGAGGAGTTCAGCGACGAGCGCAACGACTACAAGCGACACGAACTCTACGCCATCCTGTGATGCGATATCGCATGTAATGTACTAATAGCTTTTACTATCGTCATCTACGAGCACGTCCATTCTTTTTCTTTCTCAGTCAAGCTCAATTCTTGTCCTTATCGCCTGTCTCGCCGGACACGCGGCCTGCACGGCGCTGCTGCATGTCCCGCAGCATCACGTATCGTGGTAGCGCTTCTCTCTTGGATTTTGTTATGAAAATCAGCACTGAGTGCGCGGCTTCCGAGTCCAGTGGCCTTTGCGAGTGGTCGCAACCCTATTCTTTCTCAAGCGTGAACACAGGGACAGAATTGAGAGTCAGTCTTGAAGGTAATCACTTTTGCCGCCCGCAATGCACAGTCCAAACCATCACGTCCACAATAGGAAATTTTCAAAAGCCATCAACTCAACCTCACTACACACACTCGCAGGTCACATCGAAACGGTTACAGCCTAGTCCATCGACCATTCGCCCCTCTACTCACGCTTTTCTCAGGCGGTTAGTGGAGCAGCAAACACTAAGGAAACACTCATATTCCGTCAAGAATCATATAAGCGCACGTGTTCCAGGGTCAGCAGTTCGCCCTTGGCTGCGCAGAGCGAGGCTTGTTTCCTTCGATCTCCTCTATGGTCTCCACTGCCACTTGCCACCTTCACCTCATCGCTGGCCAGCCCGCCAGCATGCACCTGTCGGTTCACTGACACCGGCTTACCTCCTTCCCCATTTCGTGGAAGCAAACAAAAAACGTCTTCTCGTGAGACTCCCGCCTGTCGAGCTCAGCGCACGTATACAATTCGATGCTCGAGATCATCGGGACCCGAGCGGTCCAGCTTGTTCACACGGACATCACGGATGTCTCCAAGGCACTTAGTGTGCTTGGGTTCTTCATCGTTGGATACGGCCTCATCAGCTATGTCGTTAAAGAGCGGCTCTATTTGAGCGAGCCTCTCATTGCCGTCACCGCAGGGTAAGATGGAACACCTCATTCTTTCGTCTCCTGGACTAGATATTGATTCCACTCTTTTTTCGTCTCCACCTTTCTCCATAGGATCATCACAGGTCCCTATGTCCTTGGCTGGGTCGACCCTCTCTCCTGGGGCGACACCGAGACGACGAACTACATGACCTACCAGTTGACCCGCATCGTGATCGGCGTGCAGGTTCTTTTCTGCGGCATTTCTCTCCCTGCCAAGTACCTCCCCAAGAATGGCCTCTCTCTCTCCGTGCTCCTCATCCTCGTCATGACATGCGCCTGGTTCACCTCAGCCTTACTCATTTGGGGGATCATCCCAGGGCTCTCTTTCCTCGAGAGCCTATGCTTGGCCGCAGCTGTAACTCCGACAGATCCTGTCCTCGCCAACAGCATCACCAAGGGGCGATTCGCGGAAAAGCATGTGCCTGTCAATGTGCGCAACATTCTCGTCGCAGAAAGGTGGGTAGTCTGCCGCACTCCTCCCGATACGATCAGGAGCCGATCAAGACTAACACCCAACGCATTCCTCCCATCTGCGCTTGTTTGACAGTGGCGCAAATGATGGCCTCGGCTTCCCGTTTATGTATCTCGCCATCTACCTGATTCAGCGCCTGCCCGGAGGCGAGGATGAGGGTCTGAGCGTCGGTGATGAAATTGGCCGTTGGGGCTATTCGGCCGTGCTTTACCAGATTGGCGTGTCCATTGCATACGGCGCAGTCGTCGGTTACATTGCACGCAAGACGCTCAAGTGGGCCGAAGCTCGACAGTACATTGACAAGGTGCGTCCATATCGTGAAGCACCATACCATTTCGCCTTGAAAATGATATCAATCTGACAGAGGAATCTCCTTGGGTGTAGGACAACTTCTTTGCTTATGGTTTGGGACTCGCCCTCTTTGTCCTCGGTACGACCGGTCTCTTTGGCTCTGATGACATTCTTGCCTGCTTCATCTGCGGCAACTCGTTCACGTACAATGACTGGTTCCGCCTACGTACAGAAGACAACGACACACAGGACATCCTGGACATGCTGCTCAACACGGCCGTCTTCATCTACATTGGCGCGATCATCGATTGGAAACAATACGTTCCCAGCGGCAATTTTCTGCAGCTTGATGCTTGGAGAGTCATCGTGCTCTCTATCACACGTGAGCGAGCCTCCTTGTCCCTTGAATCGGGACTAGCACTGATAGCGTTCTATCGCACATTTTATGCTCCCAGTGCTAATCCTGCGCCGTCCCCCTTGGGTCATTTCGGCCACCAAGTTGATCCCGGCTCTGACCAATTTGAAAGAAAGCTCTTTTGCTGGATGGTTTGGCCCTATTGGAGTCAGGTGAGCATAGGAACAGGAATAAGGTACCGCCTTGTTTATGTGAAAATGTCAGAAACTGACACTTGAAGTCTGCTCCCGCGCATCCAGTTCTGTCTTCTACATCCAAGTTGCTCTGCGTGAGCTTCCGGAAGCCTCAGAACGGCTTCGGGCGGTCTACGCACCTGTTGTGCTCTTCATCGTCTTTGCCTCCATCCTCTGTCATGGCATTACTGTTCCGGTATCCAAGCTGGGCCCGTCGATCCTCAGAAGGACGACAACATTAACTCAGACACGCTCCATCACGTTCACCTCGCGACCATCCTCGCGCGTCAACTCAATCACTGAAGGAGGCGCCAATGGCCGAGGCGGCGGTATGTCTGAGGTCAGAGAGGTTTGGAACCCTTTCTTTGCTTTGTGGGATGGTCTTGTGCATTGCGCACTGTTTTGGCGCAAAGACAGTTTCTGGCGCAAGCCTCCAGCAAGAAAAACGCAATTGTCTGTCATGAAGGGCAAGATCATCTCGGCTCCAACTCACGCACAGAGGCAGCATGCTATCGAGGACGAGTCGGAAACCGATCGCTCCGGCTTCTCTTCGAGCTCAGCAAAAGTACTGAATGAGCGCAGCGAGAGCGCATCCGATGAGGACGCGGGTCCCGAACCGGCAGCCAGCCGTGTCACGCGTCCGCCTCCGCCTGCAATGGAGCTGCCCACCTCGATGCCGACTAAGGATGGTGCTTTCACGCCTGTCGCTGCACCAGCGCCAGACGCTGTGCACCCGCATGCATCGCGAATCGCCCACGTCGTCCGCGAGTTCCAGCGTGCTCTCGAGCACGAGCTAACTTGCGAGCGGGAAGCAGCTGTCAAGGATGCAGCGGAGGGGTGCAGTGCCGAGATCAGGGCAGCGATCGCGGCGAAGAAGGCTTATGCAGCACAAGCACGACCAACCATGCCCGCATCAGCCGGCAGCAGCAGCGGCGACAGCGGGAGCGGCGGCTTTGAGATGCCTAAAAAGACATCAATTAAGGCGACGCCCCCCCAAACGCCAGGAATTCCTTCCGTGCCTGGCACACCTTCAGGCGAGCAACGCAGCATCCGCTTCACTGACCAACAGGATTTGCTTAAGGGCACGGTAGCGCGTTTGCGTGAGCACGATACATAACGCGCCAACTCTCCACTACATGTACGCCCAAAGAAAGTGGAACTATCGCGTAATGCTCCAGAAATACATGAATCTGCTCGCTGCTAGCAGCCACTGGGTGCAAGGGTGCGCGATCTGGCTCGAGCTCTATTCTCTACTGGATGGCCGCGGTTGAAAAGGTGCATGTTGGGGGTATTGATGGGCCGGGCCGTGATAGTAAGCAGATGCTAACTCGATGTGTAGATATTTAGCGCAGTATGATGTCAAATTGAATCCATGACTGCCGATGCAAATCGGGTAGTGGGCTCCTTTCATCCGCTCCAGTGAAACAATAAAAGGTGACAACGCATCGGCCTTTTCATTTGTAATGTCGCCAGTGGTCGCAGCCTCCCTCGGACCATGGTTCCGTTGGGCAATGTCTCGTTACGCCTGTGCTGCATTGTTCTGTTTCGGTGTCCGACCTGGGACTAGGGAGCCATGTCACGCGATACGCGAGGTGACAAAGATCCTGTTCGGCGCTGTTCCCAATGCGCCGATCCGCTGTGTTGATGGAGAGAAGCTGGCCTCGGTCGTCCGTAGGCGCCTTGGACGCTGGCCCCCGCATTTGTCTGAGCCTGAAATTGATGCATTCGCGCAGCAGAGCCGCCAAGGGAGCGTGCACGTTTAATCTGCACGACAAAGTACGCACGGCTCAACGTGGACGGCTGGTGAAGCTCCAGGCCAAGGTAAGCGCCGAGGTGCAGCTGGACGACGAAGTCAAGCACGCTCGAGTCGGCGCTGATGAGACGCATTTGGCTCGAAGGAAAGATGGTCCCTGCGGCTGGTACGGCAAGTTGGTCTGCATCGGCGGCGCGAACATCTATCGTCGCGCTGCGCGGCAGGATGGCCATGGCGGGGATTCCGACGGGACTCAGCAGGTCCGCGCAAAGACGCTCGAGTTTTGGCCCATCGCTGGGATGCAATATGCTGTGAAGGGACATCTCGACCAAATCGCGCTCAGAGTAGCCAAGCAGCGCTCGTAACTCCTCTGAACTTCGAAGGCACACGAGGCCAGTGGTGCAGACAAGTAATCCGACAAGGTCGACATCGTCGACATCTTCAGCAGCTAGGTGTGGTCGAGGCTGCGTGCTAGAAAGCGCAAGATTCGAAGAGGAAGTGGGAAACCGCGGTGGTGGCCGCGCCGGAGCACTAGAATAGCCTTCCGCAGGCAGTACACGGGAGCCGTAGGCTGTCGAGTGGCTGGGGAGGGTCCGTGTCGTGGGAGCAGGATATGCACCTTGTGTCCTGGCGTTGGGAAGCCATGCAGAAGCTTCTGATGAGGTGACCCGGCTCGATGATGCTGGCGCGTTTACCTGTCTCGTAGCAACCCGGTCGTCGAACGCTGCCAGCGAGCGACGCTTCGAAGCGTTCACCGCTGGTCCATGCGGCTCAGTGTTGGGTAAGCGAGACTCAGGGTGCCAAGGTACTGTGTTAGCGGAACAGGCAATAGGTGATAGTGATGGAGGTGGCACAATCCGCTCGGGTGGTGTAGAGTATCCGCTCGGAACCGCCGTCACACGCAAGCCTCTGTGGTGGTCGGCTGTGGTATCATATGATGAGGCCATGGGCACCAGCGGCGGGAGAATGACATGATCGCCTGGAGATAGTAGACTGCGGCTCCTGCTCAGCTTGCCTCGCGCATTCGCAATGGGTGCGGACATGCCCGCAAATGCTGATGGTGCTCCCAGAGACGAAGGGTCCGAATGCCTGGGCACTAATTTCGGTGCGTCGTAAGGCGAATATCTGGGTGACGGCGCGATACGCCCAGCGTCCGTGCCCATACTCGTCACGAGCGGAGGCAATTGAGCCAGTAACATGCATTGATGATGCGAGCTTGTCGACGGAGGCGCACGTGACAGTGTCGACAGCTGCTCCTGCAATTCGCCGCCTTCTGCGCTGTTTCGACTACGCAGACGAGGTCGACCGCGCTTTTTGTGCTGGACATTGACGCAGCTATCGGGGTCTTTGCCTAAGGTGACGCATCTCTTGCACGGCCGTTCAAGATCGCAAGCCAAATGGGCTTTCTTGCAGTGTGCGCATGCGTTCGGCACATTTCCTTTCGTTGACCGTTTTCCCCGTATGCTGCTTGCACTCGATACTGTTGTGCTGGACGACGAAGAGAGCGAAGGTCGAGGAAGGCCGCTGCTGACACTTGGCCCTGCTTCGGCGGCGCTGTCGCCAGCGGTAGCATACCAGGAAGAAGATGCGGGTGCGGGCAACTTCCAGCTCCCTAAGTTCGCCTCCTCCATGGCCTCGTCAGCGCCAGCTGTGCCTTGCATCTCGGGATAGTGGCCAGTCGAGCAATACGCGCGCGACACACCCGCACCGGAATGTGAGCGCCACATTCAGTACCGTCAACGTTTTTTTGGGCTGGGAAAAGCCAAGCTGAGCCATCCCTGGGGCACGCAGAGGCGACCGGCGCTTCAGCCCCACGGTAAATTATTGGGACGGTCCGCCTCGCTCTTCTTCAACACACTTCAATTTTCCAGGAAGGCTGAAGAGGTCGAAAGGTCAAAATCGTGCCGATGGAGTCAAGTCAGAAGTCACCGTCGTTTCCGACTGCAATGAACAGCTGGAATGAACTCAGCGAGAGGCTGAGAGTTGACGGCACCAAATTGCTGGACCTCTATTCATACGAATTGAAGGATTTGAACGGTCCGCATTTTGCCTCTGCACCACTTGTTGGAGTTGACAACTCTTGTGCGGCACTGAACGCCGGGACATGGCATCTCCAGAGGGCGAACCTCTCTGATTGTACAAAAGCTTCCCAGTTCTCAATTCTCATACAAACACTGCTCTTCTGGATGGAAGATGCCCAAGCCCAACGCTGGCGTTCGCGCACATCTTCTTCGGAATCGGGATGAAAGTGTCCATTCCGTTCGGACCGCCCTTTCGGTCCTTAGCGCAGCAAATAATGCTCCTCAGTCCTCACTCAACCCCAATAATGTTATTCCGTGGCTCTACACACAATGTACAGAGCACAGATGTGCGACACGTGGCATGTGACAGGCCGAACTCTGACATTACGGTGGACAGTTGACCGACGACTTGTGCCACAGGGACAGACGGACAGCCGACACTCCGACCGGCGATCCATCCAACAAGCCGTTTCAACTACTAGACTAGGTGGAGGAGGAGTCTGGCAGAGTGCTCAAGACTCAACCAGTCCGACGGCAATCGGACTCTGACCCACACAATTACATACGACCTCGGGCTGCTTGGTCCGTTGTCCAATCTAAATACGTAGAGCAGCGTGAGGCTCCAACACCTGCACGCAAGCATGCCAGCACGTTAATATGACTCACAAGCTCTCAGTGCTGAGGGTTCCAACACTGTTAAAATGTGCCCAACTCTCGAGCCCGACTCATGGGCATCTGACCATGTATCTATGCACGTACATACATGGCAGCCGAGCCCCCAAGTTTGGAATCTACCAAGCGACGTCTGCGGGACACTTCGTCAAACAAGACTTGTCGACTTTGTCGAATGCAGCGAAATGCATACGAGTACATATGTATATATATATACATATACATGGAGCCCGCAACATGCTTGGCACGGCACGGGAGGCGCCCTGATAGTTTTGCTTACATACTGTACCCATTCACTATCAGCATGTCATGTCAGGGCAGGCTTCGGCGGGTCAGCGCGCAGCGCAATTAGGCGCACCACCACTCTAGAGTGCAATGGACTGCGGAATCATTACTTTGGGGAATCATGCAATGAGGACTAGCCTTGGGACCTGGGAGAGCTTGAGTTCCTGGCGGCTAGACTACACCCTGGTTCGTGCCTGTTGACCTGTTTCATGTATGCATGTACATGCATATGGCGCAGCTGCGGACAGCGAAGTGCCGAAGGCTGCAAGGCGATAAATTCGGCTAGCATGCGAGTCGCGCACATGGCCCACGCCAGCCCAGTCTCCAACATTTCACACTTCCGTTGCTGTTCAAGAATTCTTTATTTCCTTGAATTCGGCCACCCGATTTCTGGGGGCAGCCTGGTGCAGCAAAAACCGGTATATACGTATTTATATATACATCGATCGTGGGTACAAACAGACGGAATTATGAAAGTTGTACGTACATTCGTGGTTGCCTGCGCTTCACAGCCTTGCTGCAATGGAATGCAGACAATGGGTGCCGTGCAGCCCCCCGTGCAAGTTTGAGCAGGCAAGTCTAAGCACGTGTGCTGACAGATGCACCCTGCAGGCAAATGGCCAGATGAACCACTTTATATAAGAGCGACATGAAATAATCGATTTTGATACACACTGTTAAAACTGACATGTGTGTGGACAGATGTGGTCAAAGCTAGTCAAACGGTTGCTCCTTGGCACACAACCCTTTCCTCCTCGGCGGATATCCGCAGCCACGCGAGAGTTTAGACTTGTTTAAAGTATCATTAAACTTTGTTTAAATAGGACGGTCCCTTGCAGCTCTTTGATCATTCACACTTCACATTATTTTGTACAACATTGCAAGACATTCGCATCGGCTTGGGGTTCTGGCTGGCTTGGGTGTGGATATGCACCCTCACCATCTTTTTCTTTTTTAAATGTGGAATTGTACAGCCGATATCTGTCTAGCTTCCCTGCTGTTGCTCAGCTTTTATGTGCTGGTTGCGTGAATCCCATCAACTCGTGCCCCGGTAGGTCAGTTGTCTATGGAGGAAAGATCCTGGACAGACAAGAGACTGCAGGCTGCCAGAGCCTGCGAAGAACGAGAGCTCCAGCAGCTTGGCGGCCCAGAATTATTGTTCACAATCATCAGATGTTCCCCCTGATGCCTAGAAGTGAAGATGATGCAATTAATTTGGTTTAGGCTTTGATGGTAGGCCATGGCGGCTCAAGCCCTTCACCGCATGCAGACTCAAATGTATTTATTTATTTGCATGTCGACACTTTAGAGACAGCTAGTTGGGAAGAATACTAAAAGTTCCAGAGCTTCTCGCTTGTCTTCTGCAGCGCTTAACAGAATCTACTCACACAAATACGTACCCACATCGTTCACATTGCCCGGTACTTAACACTGACTCAAGTACTCAGTACTCAGCACTCAGGTAATACCCAGATACTGAGTCCAAGCTTTAACCTCCTCGTGAACGGTCCTTTATTAATGATTAATGATCGATGATGTGCAATCGCGCGACATGGACGCTAGTCACTACGCAGTATGTATGTATCATTCAGCATTGCAAAGTCGCGTGCATACATCGTAAATATAGAGTGAGGCTGTCTTCAGCCATGCAGGTTGGGGTGTGCCGACCGCCAGAACCCCTTGCACGGTTGCACGTCTCTGTCTGATAGACCGCTTCAATTTGCAAACAAATCCGCCGAAGCGTCAATGTAGGGTGGGCCTAGGTGGTGGGCAGGGAGGGAAGGCGTGGATAGTGACCAATGGGTGTCTGGGTACTGAATTATAGACATACGACCTAAGACATGATAATTGAGTCGCTTCACAATACTCCAAAAGTTCGATACGCACCTGCATCGGAGGTGCGTCAAGTATACAACGGGATAACAGGACTTACACGGCGAGCCAAACCACAGCGAAATCCAGCCATATCCCACCCTAGTATTGAGTTCGATTTGAGCAGCATCAAATGTCGAGCCCGCAGACAAGTGCGCCAACAATCAACGCTCAGCGGGCAGCGGGCAGCCAGGCACCAGCATGATCGAAGAGTAAACAAAGGGTGGCATTGCATCTCTTCCATACATGAGCATCAATAGGATATATGGATGGTTCTCGAACTAGGTTGAAGTGCATACAAACTTACGAGTGCATAGACCTCTAGCTTTGGTATGTATGTACAGATTTATGCTTCCGCTTTTAAAAGGCAGGTTGATCCTTTTGGCACAAATTTTAATCGCTCGAAACGGGATGCCCGATGCAGCAGGCCTGTCAAACCCCTGTCGAACGTCACGTGCTAGATGCGAGATGTCAAAATCATCTGGGTCCGTTGCTGATCTCCACGTTGTACCCCAACACGACAAAGTTCCTCCTCGACCGTCTAATTGTCCTTCTAGTCGTCCCCTCTTATCTCTCAACTGTAATTGTCTCGAGCAGTAAGGTGCGTTTTACGTCCTTCATACTTAAAATGATCACATAGTCGTACAAAATATGAACGTATGAACGATGAGCTTATGGACACCAATGCGATGAGCATGCAGCAACATGCTACTAAATATATAGACTGATGTTATATGGCATATGTATTACATCAATTCATACATGCACACATGCCTCATGGCGCATGTAGCATGTGTCATGCATGGGGCACCAAGGATCAGGGATTAGGCATTAAGCATCAGTATGTCCGTCAAGGCCTCAGAGCAGGCCTGTCATATTCGTGCTCATGCAGCCCGCAATCGCCCGCAACCCATAGGTCAAAAGAGTTCGAAGCATATATATATTTGTACAAAGCTTCTATTTTCCGGTCCAGATTCCACTTTCCAGACATGTAAGTGTGCTTGTACTGTGTAGGTTTGTGTGAACCCTCTATTTCCCACAGAGCAGCCAGAGCAGTCTGGAGCAGTCCCAGCTCTTCCACCGAAATATATTGACGTGCTTCTTGGTTCCCGCTGGATGGCTGCCCATCGCATGCAGTATGAATGGGAGCAGGGGAACTTGCACCTCGAGCCCATCAGCCCAGCCCTCCAAACCGCGGCCGTCGGTGTTATCAATGGCAACGCAAGATGGCACTCCCATTTTCACCACCAGCTCCCCGGTACCTTTGCTGAGCCCGGTATTCCACCGACCCGACCCTGGGATCATATCATCGAGGTCACCAGCAAGGAAGGCCTTTGCCAGCGTGAACGTTCAAGATCGCCATGGGAGCATGAAGCCATTCAACAATTCATCCATGAGTAAACACAGAAAGCAGTGATCGAACCAGCTAATCATTCGCTGTGGGCCAGGCTGCTGCTGCTCGTGCTCAAACTGAATACTCAGGAGCCCTGTGTGTGGCGACTATCTCTGCCTCAATGACGTAACAATCAAAGGCTTGCATCCTTTGGTACGAATCGATGATTGTTACGCTATGCTTACATGCCACGAGGGTTTTCACAATTTTAGACCTCACCCAGAAGGTTGGGAAGTTGCGGCTGCGAGCAGAAACGAGGGCTAAGGCCACTTTCACCACCCCCCATGTCTTGTACCAGTGGGCTGTGATGCCCATGAGGCTGACCAAAGCGTCGGCTACCTTCCAGTGGATGGTGAATAGCATTTTGGGAGCAATGATCGACCTCACCTTCAGGGCATCTCGCGATGACATGGTGGTGTTTTCGAAGGCGGAGGAACAAAAAAATGCACATCTCGGATATTTTGGCCGCGCGACATGCGCACGGGCTTAAAGTCTCCGAAAAGTCGAAGTTTTTCCGTCAAGAACTCACTTCCTTAGGATGACCCTGACACCCGAAGGCATCAAACCAGATCCCATCAAAGTCGAGGCCATCGCCAGGTGGGAGATACCGACGACGATTAAGCAAATGTGCTCTTCAGGTGCAACATGTTATTATAGAAAGTTCTTAGCGAGGGATGCCAAAATCGCTGCGCCGCTCACCAATGCGCTTCGCATGGGCGTTCGTTATTCTAAGTCTGATAGTCACAGACCTACCTCCGGTGGTTACTAAAGATATGCGAGCTGCTTTTGATTTGCTGAAAGCGATGCTTTCCTCTAAGCAGACTCTCAAGTACCCTGATTTCGCCAGGTCTTCTGCATCGACACGGATTTGGGTGATGAAGCGCTCGGGGCCGTCTTGCATCAGGGGGATGTGGATCACGAGGAGCCGGCCAGAACATAAATGTAACATGGGCACGTCCGCAACTTGCGCCAGATCGCTTTTGAAAAGAGAAAACTCACGAGTGCTGAACACAACCACTTTCATGCAGAAGAAAGAAGCTTTGGCCATTGCCAACGCTCTCCACAGATTTCGGGGCCTTGGTAGAAGGTGGTCAGATCGCCTGTGTCAGCGTGGCTCACTTTTGGGCAGGCAGTTCGGGACCTCCGTTCGGAACCTCCAGTGGACACAGTGCCGGAAGCAAAGGGATCAGGTGCAAGTCACTTTCTGGACAGGCTAGTGAATTCTTCGGGAACTAGATACACTGAGGGAATGTGTTAATATGCGTGTAACTGCTATTTGTATGTGTTGCTAGAAATGTGTTGTACACAAGATGTGCTGCGCATGGCAAACGAGGATGCTGATTGAACCTGAACTCGATCTGGGTTTGCCATACTTGCTGCTGCTGCCGAATGCTTCGACGGGCGCCCCTGGTGATGAACGACGGTCACCGGCTGACCGTCGTTCACACCAACCGCGAACCTCTTCACTATCTGCGAACCAAGAAAGATGTCGCAGACATTCGCTGGAGTCGTGGAACTGTATGACCCACTGATCCTTTGCTTTCCACGCAAAGTCGATCTGGTAGTTGGCGCGTTGTCCAGAAATAGAGCTCTCGCGCGCAAGGCAAGCTTAAAATAAATACATCTCAGCGATCTCACATCCGTGTCGCTCGACTACTCCCAGGCTAGTGCTCTGCAAGAGGATCTGAAGAAGGGAACTCCCAGCGAGGAATCGTTCGTACTCCAGGCATGTACTCGGAGGAACCTGTGGAGGGTTCCACCAGCAAATACCGCTGCATTCCGACTTCACAATAAGAATTGCTCAAATTGTGTGATCTCATCCACAAACAGACCGAGCATCATGCGACGCAACTATCAGCACAGCAACTGCAACGCCGCTGTGCGATCACCAATGCTCGAGCCCAAGAAGCTGCAGCCCATGTGGTCGTCGCATACCCAGGTTGTCAGGCAACACAGCGGCAGTCTCCTGCCGAAAGTGATAAGCTGCCACTACATGTCATGTCAGACTTCCAGCTTTTCGACCTCTGGGCTCTTGATTGTGTTGGCCCGATGCGGGCCGCGGAAGGGCTCGATACATAGTGGCTGCAATTGAGCACTGTCAGGATGGGTGGTTGCGGTGCCGACAATTGACAATCGACCGAGCAACGTCACTTGCTTGCTGTACGACATTCGCACCACCTGTGGAGAACCACGATACGTCATCAGCTGCCCGCAAGCCACGCCGTTCCACATGCTTTTTCGTGGTGAGCCTGAGCTGGTGGGTCTGTACAATGCTCTAGCCACTCGCTTCCAGTCACCCATAGTGGAAATTCACGAGTCTGTCGGCTGCGCAACGCAGAGCTCCATGATGGTCCGTACCGGCAAGAAGCAGCTCGCAGACGACAAGATAATTACAAGCGAAATTAGGCAAGACAGCAAGAACGGCACGTTGCTGCTGGCTTCAACATCGGCAACAATGTCTGGCGGATGCGAAATCGCCAGAGCAAGTCGAGCCCGACCTAAAATGGCGTGTTTTACATGTACGACATCACCAGCACCGGGTGCGTACCAACTCCAAGTCCTCGACAGCTTTCTTCACCACATTCTCGTTAACGAGACGTACCTCAAGGTAGCGACGGAGAGGCTAGAAGACCAACACTGGAAGCCATTGCGCGACGCTTGCGCCGACACCAGCATGCCGATCGCCTTCGTACAATCATCGACCGCACGCAATGATTTGTTGTGTGAGTTGCTGTTGTCGCTGTTGTTGTTTAGTGATTCCGACGATGATGTTTCCCCCGGGTCACGCTTATTACTAGAGTATCATGGGAACCAACCCTCACTTCCCACAGGGACCACTCTCGCTTTCCCTTTTCTCTTGCCGCTTTGACCGGTAAAGTCTCACACACAACGGCTACTTGTCCTACTTTGGTAGTAGCTACTCACGTAGACTCCTCAAGCTGGACAGAGGGACAATGTTGGCATCGTTGCTCTAATCCGCCGCAGTTCGGCAGAGTGATAGAGGGGGTGTCGCCCGATCCAAGCAAGGGAATGGAACTGGAATAACAGGCACATTGTATGTACCTCACCGAATAGAGGGGAACCAAGGTCGCTTAGATGCATGTTCTCCACACGCACTTTCATATGGCGAATTGCTTCTGGAAGCATTCGCGAGAACATAGGACCACAATGCCCTTAATCCTGGAGCTCGATTGATGCCTCCCGTGCTACAACAGTCTACACCAGCCGAGAGTGCGCGCCTGTTAGGCAACAGACCGTTGGGAAGTTGGAAGTTCTGGGAGTTCATCAACATTCGACGGAACGAGAGTGCAGCCCCTTCCTGTGTTCGTGTGCTTGGCGCTCTCTTCCAACCCTCTCAGTCCCTCATCCACAATCCCATGCCGCTGATTGGGGAGTTGGCGGCTCGGCTCGCTCATCTCACTCAGCATCCATCTCCAGCATTCGACTGTTTGTCTTTCACGCCCCTGCTCACACCACCGCAGACCACTCTCTTTCCTGCCCACGCTCTCTTTCCCTTCCCCCTTCTCAACCTTTCCCACCTTGAGTCTCAAGGATTGCCTGCATCCTCGCTCGACCCACAACTTCCAACGTGTTCGACCTTTTTCTCGCTCGTGGTAAAGCCTGGTAGTTGCATCATCATGGTCCATCTCGCTTCTTTGTTCAGTGGCGCAGGCACCGGGGCTGCTGCCGCCGCTCTTCTGCTCTTCGCTCGCACCTCTGCAGCGCTGGAGATCACGTACCCCACCGCCGACTCTGGTGAGTGCATGGGTATTATGGCGTGCTTGCCATGCATTGACGTGCCGTCGAGATTGGCTTCTGACCGCCGTGATGATCTCCTGCTTCTGAACAGACGCATACTGGGTCGCGTGCCAGAACAACACTCTACGCTGGACATCCAACTCGTCTGACCCTAGCATCTTCAGCGTTGCGCTCCTCAACTCCAACCAGACCCAGCTGAACGGAAACTGTGAGTATCTGCCTAGCCAGCATCTTCTCAGGGGAGGGGGAGTTGGGGGGGAGTTTATGCAGATAGCTAACGCGCCCTTCGTATCTCCCTCCATTCCGTTTGCACAGTCCAAATTGCCAATTCGCTCAACACGTCTGAGCGCGAAGCGACGATCTTTGTCGACTGCGTCCAGCCAGGCAGCTACTCTGTCCTGCTCGTCAACGCCTCGCGGTACTCACTCAACGAGCCGCAGGTCTACACGCAGAGCGCTGTGTTTGAGCTGAAGCCGAACGGGACTACGCCTGCATCTGCGAGTACAGCTTCCTCTTCCGAAAGCAACAGGGCCACCGGAAGCAGTGGCGACAGCAGCAGCTCTAGCAACGCCTCGAGCACTACTGCCGGTGCATCCGCCACGAACGCTGCTAACGCCGCTGCTGTTGGGCCGAGCAGCAGCGCTGCCGGCTTGAACAGCGTCCTGCTCGGCATGGCCACGACGGCAGTCGTCTCCCTTGGCCTTGCAGCATCCCTGTTCTGAAAATAGAAGGGCCAAAGCCCGGATCTGTTGTGTTCAGCCCTGGACACTCACCTTCGTTTTCTCTTCGTGTCACCCGCCTTTTGTTCGTGCGCTATGCTTTCGAGAACAAAAGCGCAGCGTCCTTGACTTCCGCATACTAGCGCGTGCGCATTCATCATGGGGTCTACAGCAGGAGCACCAGGCCCCAAAAACACAAACATTGCAGCTTGCGCTGTACGGAGCCCTGATTCTCTAGCCCAGCGCAGCTTGGTGCGGCTTACAAACCTTCCAACGCAGATTCTCGGGACTTTCCATGGTCGAACTCTCTCCATTCGCTTCTTAGAGTTCCTTCAGCAAGCAACAGTCTTTCTCCATACCATACCATACCATACCATCCTATCCTATCCCATCCCATACACGCAACCGGCCATTCGAAGATCCACCTGTCATATAAAAGGGTCACTTTCCAGGGAAGGCCATTGCATCCTGCCGAAGCCAGAGCCGATCAAGGCTACCACACGCAGACGCACTGTGCTGAACTGGCGATGGTGGAATGGTTGCTTGCTTTACATTGACATGCACAGGTATGATATGAGCTGGTATCAGACGATGCTAGAGGCTCGGTAATGTGCTCAGTGGATGGATGCATATTAGCTGGGAAAGAATGGCGAGAATGAAGGGCGGAGTAACGTCCGGAACAGATGCGTACGGAACGGATGAATTGCTTGCGATGCGTGCAGCCAGGTCTGTGTCGGGTCATTGTAAACAATCAAAGAGCCTAATGTGGCGAAGCAGCGAAAGTGGGGATCCCAGCAAGTGGAGAGAAAGGGAGCTGATAGGGGCAGCGTATGGAGAAGGCCAGTGGTAGTGATGCCAGCGCTAGTGCGCGCGTCTGCCGCTGCCCGCCGTCGCACACCGCCCTGTGTCGTCGCCCTGTTCGTCGTCAGAGGAGTGCAATCCGCTGGCCGTCTCGCCAAGTCCGAAGACGGCCTCGTCGCGTCGGCGCTGCAGCAGACTGTGCTCGTTGACTAGCAGCGACTTGTAGCGCTCCTCTGCCTCGGTCGTCATGCCTGTCTTAGAGCCACGGCGGAGCGAGTTGGAGTTGGAGCATACATCGCCCATTTCGGAAGCTACTTGCCTGCCATTTGCGGCTGCCGCATGTCCGTCCTTGAGCGATTCAGGGGGAGGTGCCAGAACAAGGGAGACGCCGCCGCCGCCGTTGCTGCTGCTCAATGCCGCCGAGGGTGGAAACACCAGTGGGTTGCTCTCCTGCGAGTACGCACGTGCGTTGACGCTTGCAGCCGATGGCGTGGCTTCGGCTGTCCGGCATGTGGCCGCTGCGAACTGGACAGGCTTGGGGACCGGAGATCCGCGCATGGAACTAGATGGTGAGCGTGTGCTCTTGGGGATGAACGACAGCGGCTCCTCGTCATCCGCGTCGTCGGCCTGGTGCGGGTCACCAGCAGCAGCGACAGCAGTAGATGCGGGTGCGGATGGTGGCACCACTGCGGCGTGGCCCTTTCGCGCGCGATGCATCAATGGTGCCGACGGACCGGCACGAGAAGAAACAGGAGAAGGAAGAGGAGGACAGGCCAGCGGGGGCGCAGCCTGCTGAGCCGCAGCGGTCTGCTCGGCATGTACCTCAAACGTCTCAACGACCCAGGTGCTGAGGAATGTGATGACCTGCTTGGCTTCCGGCAGCAGCGAGCTCATCTGCAGAAAGCCGTGGCTCCAACCCTCGATGATGCGCATCTGGACCGTCTCGCTGACGTCCTCGTCCTCGATCGGATCGCGCTGCTGCTTCTGTGCCCGTGCAGTCGCGCCTCCCTGGCTCATGCGCAGCGCCTCCCCAAAGCGCGCACTGCGCCCAGCGCGACGCCGTTCCAGATCAGCTTTCTTCGCAACCTTGGCCTCACGGATCCTGCCGGCCATGACGACAGTGTCGTCGCCTGCGAGATGGGCATCAACAGGGGAGGGGGGCGCACGGGGTCAGCTTCTGTTCGAGCGTGTATGCATACGTGCACGGCAGACTGGCGGATGGGCGGACTTGTGCTTCACTCACAAAGCGGGTCCTTCTCGCCGCAGATGAAAAGTGTTGGGGGGAACTCTGCGAGCAGCCGCGGCGGCGCGATGAGCGGGCTGAGCATGTAGTCGTGATCAAAGTCGGGCTGCTTGCGCGGGCCAATGTAGAGAATGGCCATGGCGCGGAGCATGCTCTGCGTGATGATGCGGTCCTGAAAGTAGCCCGCCATGGACGTCATGGTGAGGCGTGTGTTGATGGGTGCCTTATGCACCTTGCGCGCCTCCCGGTCGCTGTCCTCGGCACGGGCAAACTCGTTGAGCTGACGCTGCCGCTCGGCGTGCTCCATGCGTGCGCGGTCCATCGACGCGCTGCGGTGCAGGTCCGGACACTCGGTGCGCAGCGTATCGAGCTCGTCGCTCTCGATGCGCGACCATACTGCCGCAGACACCGGCGTCGCTTCTTCATTATCCCCTTGCTCCTCGCCCGAGATCGACTGCTGGTCGTCCGAAGTAGCTGGCTCAGCCTCGGCGAAGCGCGCGCGCTCTGCGAGATGGAGCTCAGCCTGCGCTGCAAGGCTGCTGAACGAGCGGTCGGCTCGCATGTCGTGCTGCCTCACAGCCTTGGATTCGCCTGCACCTGAACCGGTGTCACCCCCCGTGGCCAGCGCCGAGCCGGGGGGTGGCGTGGCGACGGAGGCCCTTCGCTCTGCCGAGGTCGGCCGCGCGGGCTGGCTGCGCGCGGCGGGGTTGAGCGGGCTGCTCGCGGCTGCGAGACGGCCAGCGGTCTCAGCGGGCGTGGCCATGCTGTGGAGGTTCATCTCGCTCTGCTGGCGCAGGACGCGGAGGAACTCGGGCTTGATCCAGCTGGTGAATGCAAAGTTGAGGCTCGGGTACGCAAGCAGCAGGCCGATCGGGCGCGCGAGCGGCGGCGGTGCTGACCCGGGCCCACCGCTTGCGCGCCGGGCGTAGGCGGAGCGGATGTGCGGCTGGGGGTACTCGATGATCTTGAGCGTGACGCCGCACGCGAGGTTGCCACCGGCCGAGTCTCCGCAGAGGAGGATGCCGAATGCTTCGGCTGTGCTTGTGCTGCTGCTGCTGCTCATGCCGATGATCCTACCCCGGGACTCTTGCAGGGAGCGGTAGACATCAAAGCACTCTTCGAGCGCGTAGGGAAATGGGTGTTCTATGCAGACGCAGCATTAGTTACATCGTGTCAAAGGGGTGGTGGTTTCGGCAGCGTGCACTCACCGGGTGCCTTGCCATAGTCGACTGCCAGCACGGGCCGACGCGTCTCTTTGGCGAGCTGCCGCAGCCGCTCCTCGTGGTGCTGTGGGGTCTGTGCACGGGGGTGGGGTGTGGTTGTGAGATACAGACAGCAACAAAAAAGAAGAGAGGAAAAGAGAGGCGGGAGGATCGGGCGGAATCATGCGTTGTCCGCTCGCTCTCACGCACCATGGAAATGTATCCGCCGCCGGGAATATCGAGCAGGAGCTGCTGCTCGTGGCGGAGGTCGGCGTCGGTGCCGTCGTAGAAGAGCCAGACCTGCACGGGCCGGGTGGCGTGTGCGCCGAGCTCGGGGCGCGGGAGGAGCAGCTTCTGGACCATCCGGGGGCGGTGCCAGGTGAGGCGCGTCAATGCGCGGAGGTACGGGTTGTCCGTCTTGTGCCAGGTGGCGCGGAGCATGCCGACGGTGCAAAAGGCGCGGTACTTGCGCAGCTTCTCGTCCGCTTCATCGGCGTAGATCAGATAGTACAGCGAGAAGACGACCGATGCCGCGTCGCGCAGCCAAGCCGGGCGCAGGTGCATGGCCGATGCAAACCCAGCGTCGAGAGCAGTGACGATCCACGTGACACGGTAGAACGGGCGCGAGTACATGCGCGCCAGCGGCTCGGGCGCTGCGACGCCGAGGATCGCATCGGCGTGCCGCAGCGCGTACACTGCGGTCAGTACGGCGACGGTCAGCTGCCAGGGAGAGTAGCGCTGCGCGCGCCGCGTGCACCAGCGCAGAACCCGCACATTGGGGCCCCGCCGGTCGGTGCGGCGCAGTACGGCGAGCCAAAAGACAATGACAGCGCAGACCTGCAGGCGCTTCAGCCGCGTTGACGGGCGGCCGAGCAGGTGGTCGATCATCGTGTGTGCCTGCCTATCTCGTCTGTACCTATGCGCGTCCAGGTGTCGAGTCGCAGGGGCAGGGGCAGGGACAGGGGGAGTGGGGTCGTGTTCCTGCGGTCATGCGAGAGTGTGTGGCGAGGATGCAGAGGCTGGCCGCGCTATACACACATACTCTCTCTCTCTCCACCAAGGAAGAGACCATGGTGTCTGTCCGTGTCACAGACAATGAACGGAGAGGGAGACGGGCCGGTCCGCTTTATCTCATTTCATCTCATCTCCTTTCAACGCTTCGCTCGCTTTCACATGCTGGGCGGAAAGCGCTTGCGGGTGTGTGTGGGGTGGTGCCGTGTTGTTGCACCTGCCATGTGGCGCGCTTTGTGAGACTCGAAGTTTTTGGGCTGCGCTGTGGTGCAGCGACGGAACCCGACACGTCGCACGTGACGCGACTGCCCTGCTCTGCCCCACTCTAGACACACTAGTCAAAGTGCACGCATGCGAACAGCACATCTCATCTCCCAAGCAAGCTAACCCCGTGGCTAGAGGTCATCTACGCTACGTACATCCCCCACAACCCACGGCATTGTGCACGGCAGCAGCAGCCGAGATGAGCTCGACTGTGCAGCCCTGGTTGCGCCGCGCCGTCCTGCGCCTGGTCCAGCAGCAGCTTGCAGACGGCAGCGACGTTGCCGACCTCGAGATCCTGCCGGGCGGGCCCGTGCAGGTCGTCAAGGTGCGTTCTTCTGGTCTCTCTTCCTTCTTTGGCGCCGCGTGGAGAGACTCTGATGCATACACATACACACTCGCCCACTCACACAGTTCCTCAGCTTTGCAGACGAGCACGACCCGGAAAAGGCTGACGATATTTGGGCGCAGGTGTCCGACCCAGAGCACACCGCCCTTGTCCTGTTCGACCGGACCGCCGTGCAGCGCCACCAAAAGTGAGTCCAAACTGGAGGGGCCCACGCATCTTACCCGTGTCCAGTCATGTGCTCATACATCCACGCCTACGTCCACACCCACACCCACAGGGCCAGGCAGCACGCCGGCACACGCGAGTGGGCAGTG